AAAAACGGTACCCATTTAACTTGATAATGATTTTTTTCAAATTACCAGCTCTGTTATTATGCAGCTTTTATACAGGGTGTCCGCAAAGTTGGGGTTTTCCTTTACACGACGTGTAGATCTTGAAAACATAAGCAATTGGTACCATATACACCAATGTCTTAAGGGAACCGAGATAAAGGGCTCTGCAACATCAAACATATCTGAATACCGTCCTGTAGCCGCGACATCCCCGACTGGTACTAGGACACTAGCTCAATCCGACGACAGAACTGGGTCGGGGTCAGTGTGTCAGGTCAGTATGCAACCTTAAACCGACGGTTACGGTCACGCGTCTAGAGGTAATCGCGTAGACGTGAATCCCTCAACAAGCACTGGAGACGTGGCTAGAGAAGTGCAAGTATCAAAAACTAAAGTGTGGCAAACGCTGCGTGAAGAGGGGCTGTATCCGTTTCACGTCCAACGTGTACAAGCCCTTCAACCTGACGATTTTCCAGCAAGAGTGCGGTTTTGTGAGTGGTTGTTGCATCAACATGACAATAATCCGGATTTTTTTAAGTGCATATTGGTGACAGACGAATCTATGTTCACGCGTAATGGGGTGAATAACTTTTGCAACACTCATGTTTGGTCAGTAGGAAATCCGCACGCTGTCTGTCGGGCACATTTTCAACAAACATTTTCGGTGAATGTTTCGACTGGCATGGTGAACGGTATGCTCATTGGACCATTTATTCTCCCAAATCGATTGGACGGGATGCAATACCTAGACTTTTTACGCAACATTTTGCCTTGCTTGTTAGAAGATGTGCCATTAAGTGTAAGACAGTCAATGTGGTTTCTGTACGATGGTCATATTTGTTACCTATGTTCGTGCTCTACTGGTCTGCACCACCGCCGGCGTCTGCTCGGTAGCGCATTAGCTGATTTCATTTTCTGTTGAAGCGGTATGATTTCGGGCAGAGACGTACTTAGCCCTTCTCGTCAACTGGAGAGTTTCCTTTATTTTTTTTTTTACTTGGTCGCCCTCGTTTCACTACATCTTTGTTATTTCAAGGGTAGTTGTTTCTGAAAAGGAAAACCCCAACTTTGCGGACACCCTGTATTGGTGATTTTTGGTATATCAATTCTTTTGACGAGTTTGAACACCTTGTACATAATTATGAATTGGCTGTGTTAACGTACGTAAATTTGGAAAACTATTTAAAAGATAAAGATGTTCATGGACTAAATACAAGACAATGTAACCAATTATATGTAGCTTTTGTGTGTATCCAGGAAGTCTCCAAGGTATTGAGGGCCAAAAATGTTCAACAGTTTGCCAGTAGACGTAAGAAATTTCAAAAATATGAGCTTTTTCAAAATAAAACTTAAGCAGTTTCTTACAAAAAAATTCCATCACGCCGTCTCGGAATTTTGTCTATTTATAAGTTTCAATTGTTTGCAGATAATTTATGTTTGTTTGCTTTTTGATTTTAAATTTTATATTCATTTTGACGAGTTATACAGGGTGTTTCAGTTTATTGTTGCATAACTTTAAGATTCGATAGAACTTTTAAAATTAATGCATAAAGTCTATATAAACATGGGTCGAAAAATGCGTGGCTTCCGAAATACAGGGTGTTTAAATTTACTTTCTAAAATAGTTTTTTTTTTAAATATTTCGAACAATATTTGATGTATAACAGTGAAAATTGGTATGCAAGGGTTTTTTGGTACGACAATTTTTTGCTTTTTGAAGAAAAAAACTGATTCTTTGCACTTTTCTGCATAAAAAAGCTCTTCTGTGAGTTTTCGTTATAGTTAGCCGTTTTTGAGATATGTATTTCGATTTTTAAGGTTCGATGCATTTTTAATTATTTATGGGAAAATAATATTTTGGGCATTACAAGTAATTAAAATGATCGTTTAGATTGTATTTTTAAACACAGCAATAATTCCTAACTCCAAATAAACACAAAAAAACAGATTATTAATTTGTTTAATTTTCCAATATTATTTTTAACAAATTAAAATAATTATTTACAACTAAAATGCTATTGGATAGTTAGGACAAACATACAAAATCTAAAGTAGTTGCTCGAAATGTAAACCCAATTGTTCAATACACAATTCACATCTACGAATGATCGAACGTGGTATAGCATTATTCAAATAAGGCCTTATTTCATCACATGCATTCCTGATTCTGTCTATTAGCATATCTCTTGTGGTTACGGGAGTCTGGTACACTTTTTCTTTTAGAAATTCCCACACAAAGAAATCTAATGGATTTAGGTCAGGAGATCGTGGAGACCAGGCAACTGGTCCTCCACGGCCGATCCATCTTTCTGGATAATTTTCGTCCAGCCAGTTTCTAACTATTCTCGAATAATGAGCTGGACAACCATCAAGCTGGAACCAGGCCAATCTTCTTAAATCTAACATTACATCATCCCACATATTTGCATGTTCAGCCTTTAAAAATTCCAAGAAGGTCGCAGCATTTAACCTTGCAGGCAAAAGGTACGGTCCAAATAGTCGATTACGGTAGATACTAATCCACACGTTCACACTAAATTCATGCTGAAAATTTCTTTCCCGAACTGCATGCGGATTTTCATGCGACCAAATATGTTGATTATGAAAATTTACCACTCCACGTCTAGTGAAGCATGACTCATCGGTCCATAAAACGTTACTTAAAAACTCCCTATTATTATCAGTTCTATCAAGAATCCACTGACAAAATGTGATTCTTCGTTCTCCGTCCCCTGGCTGTAGTCCTTGCACAGGTTGCAAATGGTAAGGACGTCTATGGTCATTTCTAAGAACACGGTGAACATGGCTTGCTGAAATTCCCAAGGCACCAGAAACTCTCCTAACACTTGTGGTCGGATCTCTATCAAACTCACGCAGAATCATACGGGTAAATCTGCGCTGACGAACATTTATGTTTTGATCCCTTTGAAGATTTCCAAAACCATTTTCAATTATTTGGCGATGCACTCTTACAAATACTGAGCGAGTTGGTTGTCGTCTGTTTGAAAATCTTCGTGCGTATTCTCTGGCTGCTTCCGCTGCGTTTCCATTTACAAAGCCATCCACAAAATGAATATCCGCTAACCCTTGATTGGAGAATAAAAATGGCATTTTTATAAAACTTACAAAAAAAAAAAACGGGTAAAAGAAACTAAATTTCGTGCATTCACAATTGCAAAAAACGTTTCAGGTTTCAACAGACAACAAAACTAACTGTCAACTAATTGACGTTTAACCTTATTCTGTTTTCAATTTCAAAAATATTTGCAGGCACAGCCTACTTCTAAAAATTATCGAGATACTGACCTTTTAACGTTATTTTATCATAAATAATTAAAAATGCATCGAACCTTAAAAATCGAAATATCTCAAAAACGGCTAACTATAACGAAAATTCACAAGAAAGCTTTTTTATGTTGAAAAGTGCGAAGAATTAGTTTTTTATTCAAAAAGCAAAAAATTGCACTAAGAAAAATTTTTCGGTCATTTTAATACACTACAGGTACATTGGAGAGCGCCCTCTAGCGTCTACAGCAAAACTATGCCCATGGTTCGTTTTGTCGTACCAAAAGACCCTTGTATACCAATTTTCACTGTTATACATCAAATATTGTTCGAAATATTTAAAAAAAACTATTTTAGAAAGTAAATTTAAACACCCTGTATTTCGGAAGCCACGCATTTTTCAACCCATATTTATATAGACTTTATGCATTAATTTTAAAAGTTCTATCGAATCTTAAAGTTATGCAACAATAAACTGAAACACCCTGTATACGTTGTATGTGTCGAAAAGAACAATAAACATTATTTTTTTCTCGAAAATTATACGAGATCGCCTGCTTTTATGTGATACAAAAAAAAATTAAGTAAACAAAAAGATCTGCAAAATAAAAAAGACAGAGTCGTTAAGTTGACAAAAAAATTTGCTATAATTTGTGTATCGGTGGGGGTAGTTTGAATCTTACTTTTATGAGGCTGATTTGATTATTATCACTCTATGTAGTCCATGAATTATCATGAAAAAAAATCAAATATGATTTAAATACTGATCGTTATCAATCTCTACCAATCACAAACGCGCAATTTTAAATTACAAATGGTTTCTGGATGGAAAATTGTATGACAGCACCTGTCAGCAGCTTTTTTTTAGTTTACCCGCGGCAAAACTTGTCAGCTGTTGTCACCAAAAATTACAGTACCTTTGATAAGTAGTTATCGCCTCCTAGGACACCAGAAAACGACGCTAAACAATTTTTCTGATTTTATTGTCAATAAGTTTTGTAATGTTTTTAAACAGTGCTAGTCAGCTTATGTAGTGTACAATACCGTTAAAACCCAAACGTCACTATGGACACTAGAGCAACTAAATCTAATCCTTAAAGATTGGGCGTGGAATATGAGGAAAGAAAACGGTTAAAATGGCAAAGAACTGATTGTGAAGACAATGTGCAATACCGTTGCAAAACAATGCGATGTACAAATATTTTATTACTCATGAAATAGTCTTGTAAAATACCACTCGGGTATCTAATCTTTTCCTGTCAAAAAATCGAAAAAACACAATGCAGAGTAATATTTTTTTACCAAAAAGTATTCGTGCAGGTGCCCTACCACTCATGCTTCTGGTTAAAATATTACTTAGCAACATATTCTTTAGATTTATTCGGAGAAATTAGATGCTCATATAGTGCCTATTACTTGCCTATTACTTATGACAAATCACTGGATTTAAATGAAATGTTTCAAAACAATCGATCCTGTTTTGGAGACAAGCAAACCTGAGACCTTCTACCTTGAGTGAATTCGCTAGTATGTACCAAACCAGTCTCCATCAGTCCGAGAATCAATATCAAAAAGCAAAAAAATCCTCAATTAAAACACACACGCATGCCATCGACGTTGTTAACCGACCTTTACCTTTGCGATTTTTTCCGCATTGAAAACTGGACCGACTATAAAGGCTTGTCCATCGGGTACCACTTCAGTAGTACCCGGTGATTTCTGCGAACGATCCAGTAGCACCGCCACCATGCAAGCCTGTCTCCTGTTGTCCTTATGTTTGACGGCTGCGGCCGCCTCGCAGGCCCGATTCGAGGCCTATTTGCCGGTTTCTGCGGGACAGTACCACGCTCAGGACGCTTTGGGACAGTACTCGTACGGGTATTTCGGGCCGCTGAGCTCCAAGAGCGAGGCGAGGACGGCTAATGGAGTCACGGTAAGGGTTTTTCGAAGCTTCTACGAGCCCTAACACAAAAATGTTCGGAAATTATCTAATTTTATCTTTTTTAAGACAATATACAGGGTGGCCCATCCATGCGTGGACGGAATATTACTCATAAACAAGTACATTTTGGGAAAATCTATTTATGGCGTGTTATACATGACATTTGAGGGCACATTTCTAAAATATTGGCAATTATACAGGGTGTCCCAATTTCGACTTACATATCAAAGTAGTGATTTTTTAAATGGAATGTCTCAAATTTTATTGCATATTTGAATTAACCAATTCAAAAGAAGAAGATTGATATTACATTCTATGTGGTTTTGGTAATTAGCTACTGAGATGTAACGTGTTTTGTCCAGAAAAACCGTCCACTTCGGCAACCCCTCAATCCGCCATTTTGAGATGTGGAGTTCTAAATTTTGTATAAAAAAAAACTTACACACCTCAGCTTTTGCCTTGTCTGTTATTTTTGCGAATTTTCATTTTTGCTCATACAGGGTGGTCAAAAACGCGAATTATACTTTTTCTCAAAAATTTCAAATGCATCACCCTGTATATTTGTGCGAGTTTGAATTCAAAATTTTATAAGCTTTTTTTTGGTATAAGGTTTGATTCAGATAAAATCAATAGATTTTGAGTTATTAAGCTTTTAATAGAACAACACACCAAAATTAAGGAAAAAAATCACATCATCCATGGAAACAAAAGACAAACATTGCCACTAAGAGTTCAGATTTGACGTAAAAAACCAATAACAATGAGAACAGTATAAATCAGCATAAATTGTGACCCCCTGTATAATGGCCAATATTTTAGAAATGTCATGTATAACATCCCATTAATAAATTTTACCAAAAGGTATTTGTTTATGAGTAATATTTTGTCCACACATGGATGGGACACCTTGTACAGGGTTAGTTCAGATGGCATTTTATAGCAAAATACAGTTTACCTTGGCGATATGAATTGCAAACTATTCCGGAAGATAAATTTTATTTTTATGCAAAAAATTATGGGTTACGTTGTTTCTTCTAAACAAATTCAAACATTTTGTATCTGTAATTCGTAACAAAAAATGACAGGCACATCCGCCTTGTTTTAAAATGTGCATGGTAACGTATGTTTTTCGAATCTCGTAGCGCATTTGTTCAATTACTCACAAATACGAAATGTTTGAATTTGTTTAAAAGAAAAAATACGTAGCCTTTGTTTTTCGCATAAAAATAACATTTATCTTTCGGGATGGTTTGTAACTCATATCGGCAAGGCAATTTTGTTGCTGTTATTTAGAAGTATGAATCCTACGGATCTGGAGAATTTCAAGTACGAGCCCCTTCCCACTTCAGTTGGCCCAACTATTCAAATTTCTGTTTTTTTCTTATCAAACACAAATAATAAAAATGTAGCAGCTCTAAAATATTACCAATGAGTATTTTGATAATATACTAAGTGACATATAAATCCGAACACCCAGTTTAAAAGGTTTTATTTTAATAAAAGTTGGTGAATGTATTTATCTTACTGTAAATAACAAGTGAAAAAATTTTCAGCCTTATCAGTTGAACATTCCGGTTTTTATACTGCTTTTTTTAATTTACTAACGCTCTAAAAATGAATATTTCAGCCGCAGTAAAGAATCAACGTTGGCGGATTTTGATTCTTGACATCCTTTACGATCGGTTACGATGCCTAGAGTACGGAGACCTGTACGATTTCGTCAACTTAGTGAGTTTGATAGGGGCCGTATAGTGGGACTTCGGGAAGCTGGACTTTCTTTTCGGGCAATTGCAGTTAGAGTGCAAAGAAGTGTAGACACTGTGGTTAGGTGTTGTCAGGCATGGCTTCGAGAAGGCCGTACGCAAAGAGCAAGGGGCACTGGACGCCGCCGTAGAACAACAGACAGTGAAGATCGCCGCCTAAGATTATTGGCCTTAAGGGACCGTTTCTCCACTACCAGGTCCACTGCAAATGAATGGTTTGCAGAACACGGAAGACCTATTGGCATGCGAAGTGTTTACCGACGAATGAGGCCACACTGGGTCCTCCCTTTAACTCGAGAACACCGACGTAATCGCCTTGAGTGGTGCAGACAACGGTCACTCTGGGATCAGGAATGGAACAGTATTGTCTTTAGTGACGAGTCTCGATTTTGTTTAGGCATGCATGATGGTCGTGCCAGGGTTAGAAGGCGACGTGGTGAAAGGAGGAATCCACAGTTTTTTGTTGAAAGACATGTTCATCACACTGTTGGAGTTATGGTTTGGGGTGCTATAGCTTATGGTTCCAGGTCACCTTTAATCTTCATCAGAGGTAACATGAACGCGCAGCGTTATATTCACGAAGTTCTAGAACCCCATCTTTTGCCCTATCTTGACACCCTGGCAGATCCAACTTTCCAACAAGATAATGCCCGACCACATGTTGCAAGAGTCACAATAGACTTCTTTCAACATAATGATGTCACATTGTTACCATGGCCACCAAGATCTCCCGACTTATCCCCAATTGAGCACGTGTGGGATATGATGGGTAGGAGATTGCTCAATTTGCAACGTCCTCCTCAGACTCTAGAAGCACTTCGAGAGGAGTTGGTGGTTGCCTGGAATGAGATACCACATTATATTATTATTATTATTATTATAATATCATATACTTATTATGCTTCATGAAGTACTTATACAAAATTTTATTAAAATAAAACCATTTAAATTGGGTGTTCGGATTTATTTGTCACTTAGTATATATAGTAGAAAACACCAACTTTATCACTCCCTAATCAAATTTGCAGCATAAAAATAACACATGTTGCAATTACAGCATATCAAACTATTTTCATTTCAATGCAAAATAAGTCTATAACGCATAGGTGACTGTGAGAAATAAAAGTCATGACAATTGTCAACTCGGCACGGGATGCCCTGGTTCTAGGTACATCAAACTTCATCTACACTTGTTTTGACATTATTCAAGCAAAGTTAGAGGATATCCGTTTAAAAAAAGAACTTTCGCCCTAATCTAGAGTTTTGGAAAAAGTAATGTTTAGTCTGATTTTACAACAGAAATATATTGTGGTTGTAAATAAAAAGGTTCTCCATCTGAAATACAATAAAAATTCTAGATAGCTTTGCTATTAACCGTCAAATTTAAAAAAAGAAACTCTGAAGTATTGGAAAAACTGCTTCAGGGAAAGTTGTAGCGCATAAAATAAAACCTTATATGCAATTTACTAACGTGTAATTTTTTATTACAAAAATCGTCAATTATGATTTTTTTACCAAAAAGAGTACAACAGGAAATATTAAATTAAGTAAATTTTGTGATATTTAACATCTAAAAGAGTTTCACTTGAAATGCTCAAAAGTCGAAACTGCCACTGATTTTTTTAATGTTAATGGTCGTTTTAACGACCTGTTTAAAAATAACAACGTAGCCGTTGGCATATAAAGTTTCATTTTAAAAATCTTTGCATCCTCTACGACTCTTTTGTAGATTACTCAGACCAACTCTTCATCGTTTTGGGATAAACGCGCAAAACTGATTTTTTTAAATTTTCACGTTCAAAAAAAGCTACCTGACACTGATTTTTTTTAAGGTTAATGGCCATTTCAACGACCTGTTTGGAAATACAACGTGGCTGCTAAAGCAAACTTGGCATATAAAGTTTCATTTTAAAAATCCGTACGTCCTCTACTACCATTTTGTGGACCACTCAGATCAATTCGACGTCGCTTTTTTGGATACACGCGCAAAACTGATTTTTCCAATTTTTACGTTCAATAAAAGACTACCTAACAAAATTGTATGCTCTCTAAACGTAATATCTTTTCATTTTCATTAGTTTTACATACCCATAAGAATATAATTCCGTTGTAAAATCTATCTATAGTAAGTGACATATAAATCCGAACACCCAGTTTAAATGGTTTTATTTTAATAAAATTTTGTATAAGTACTTAATGAAGCATAATAAGTAAATGATAAAAATTTCAAAATGATTGCACTGCTTTAAAGCCCTTTGACCTTTAATAATGTGTGGATGCACCCTGATGTGCTAGGCATTCTCCAACGCGCCTAGGCAAGCTTCTGATCAGGTGGTCAATGTCCTCCTGTGGTATCTCATTCCAGGCAACCATCAACTCCTATCGAAGTGCTTCTAGAGTCTGAGGAGGACGTTGCAAATTGAGCAATCACCTACCCATCATATCCCACACGTGCTCAATAGGGGATAAGTCGGGAGATCTTGGTGGCCATGGTAACGATGTGACATCATTATGTTGAAAGAAGTCTATTGTGACTCTTGCAACATGTGGTCGGGCATTATCTTGTTGGAAAGTTGGATCTGCCAGGGTGTCAAGATAGGGTAAAAGATGGGGTTCTAGAACTTCGTGGATATAACGCTGCGCGTTCATGTTACCTCTGATGAAGATTAAAGGTGACCTGGAACCATAAGCTATAGCACCCCAAACCATAACTCCAACAGTGTGATGAACATGTCTTTCATTCCTCCTTTCACCACGTCGCCTTCTAACCCTGGCACGACCATCGTGCATGCCTAAACAAAATCGAGACTCGTCACTAAAGACAATACTGTTCCATTCCTGATCCCAGAGTGACCGTTGTCTGCACCACTCAAGGCGATTACGTCGGTGTTCTCGAGTTAAAGGGAGGACCCAGTGTGGCCCGTATGAAAACAAGCCAAAACTTCTCATTCGTCGGTAAACACTTCGTATGCCAATAGGTCTTCCGTGTTCTGCAAACCATTCATTTGCAATGGACCTGGTAGTGGAGAAACGGTCCCTTAAGGCCAATAATCTTAGGCGGCGATCTTCACGGTCTGTTGTTCTACGGCGGCGTTCAGTGCCCCTTGCTCTTTGCGTACAGCCTTCTCGAAGCCATGCCTGACAACACCTAACCACAGTGTCTACACTTCTTTTCACTCTAACTGCAATTGCCCGAAAAGAAAGTCCAGCTTCCCGAAGTCCTACTATACGGCCCCTATCAAACTCACTAAGCTGACGAAATCGTACAGGTCTCCGTACTCTAGGCATCGTAACCGATCGTAAAGGATGTCAAGAACCAAAATCCGCCAACGTTGATTTTTTACTGCGGCTGAAATATTCATTTTTAGAGCGTTAGTGAATTAAAAAAAGCAGTATAAAAACCGGAATGTCCAACTGATAAGGCTGAAACATTTTTCACTTGTTATTTACAGTTAGATAAATACATTCACCAACTTTTATTAAAATAAAACCATTTAAACTGGGTGTTCGGATTTATATGTCACTTAGTATATAAAAGTTTGTCTTGACCAGGCTCTGATTTTATTTAGTTAGCATGACGATATCCATGGCCTCTTTTGTGACTCAGATAAAGTTCGACCTGTCTTATATCCGAACGATTCTTTCCAAATAAGGTCGGAAGCTACAAATACGTCGACGCTGAAGGTAAAGAGCAAGAGGTTCAATACACAGCTGACGATATCCACGGCTTCCAAGTTGCGGCTACAAATCTACCAACCGCTCCAGAGGCACGCATGATTGTTCCAGAGCCCGTTAGGGATACACCAGAGGTGGCGGAGGCGAGAGCGAGGCATTTGGAAGCTTTAGAAAACGCTAAGGTTAGTACTAATATATCATGAATAGAGTCCTCTTTTTGCGAAAAAGGTTTTGGAAATTGGTAGTCTTAAAGCATGGCCAAAACTAGAAAAAGAACAATAAATTTCACTTTATGTTTATATTTTCGCGACCTTTTCGTTGGGCCACCCTGTATACAGGTTATAAACCACCATTAATGAGCGAGATACCTGATTAAAAATTTTGAGTATTTACATAAAATAAATTGTCTCAATTCTTGCTAACTACTTCATATCCTTCCACCGTCTGCCCCCAGGGTCATCCCTTCAAAAATTCGAGTAACGGCTTGTTTGAAAGGTCTTTTGGCGTCCTTTATTTTGACATTTAATTTTTTTTAAATCGGTCGATTCGTATTCAAGAAAATTAGAAAAATATTTTTTTTCTCTGAGTTTGTTCAGATGGAAAACAAAAACTCACGAAAGTATCACTTTGTTTTCAATAAGTGTTCAAAACGTTGCTCGTTATTGGCCAAGCAATTGTTCAAATTCCTGACGGACATTTTCCAAAATATGTTGTGGAAAACTTTCAGGTTGAGCAGTAAACATAGTAGATTTTAAATGGCCCCATAGAAAAAAGTCTAATGGCGTCAAAGGGGCCGTTCAAGTATTACGTAAGCAGATTTATTACAATTATTTACCCCCCAACCCCTTGTCAGCAAAAGTAAGCAAAGCTCTTACCCCCTCCCCTGATGCTTACGTAAACATTTGTCAATTAATGTATTGTTTTTTTTAATGTTATAATTATAACGTTATAATTATAATTTGAAAAATAAGAAAATAGATTTAGGATAGAGATTATATTTTACTGATATGGTATTCAACATAGAGTAAAGGACAACAATATTATATCTTACTAACATAACAAACTTATTTTAAATTTTTGGTACATATATTAAATTCAAATTAACAGTCTTCAGTCCATGAAACCCGAATCCATGATTCTAAGTTTTCGATGACATTGGATCGCTTCGATTGCTGCTCAGTGTTGTGAGTTTGCTCGCTTTCATCGGATTTTGGAACGTCTACGTCGTTCTCATCGAGACATTCAACATCATGGTGCTCTAAATTTTGAATAATGCACATCAGATCATTAGCACGACGAGCAGCGACTCTTACAGGTCTATCTTTCCTATCAGTGTGCGTGTTTACTTTTTTATGGATATTTTCGATGTGACGATTTAGTGACTTGACGGAAGCATGATAAAGGCCACACGTTTTGCAAGTTCGACTTGATAGCCTCAAATTTACCGTCGGACCAAAATAATCGTAGGGCATTTGCAGGAAATCTTTGAGTGAAGCACTTAAGCGTAGAGCTTACTTGATTGGAAGATTAAGAAATTGCCCTCCTTCATCCAAAACCAAGTCATCAACTGTTTGTTTAACTTTTACAGGTGGTGGAAGAAACCTATTGTCTAGTAATCTAAATAAGCCACTTCTTGGACGACAGCATTCTGTATTTCTACATTTTACAATTTGAAGCAAGTATTGGCTCTCACGCACATGTTCTGAATACCATTTAATGTCTGGAAAATCAGCAAGATCTTGTTCACCTGCCCCAACATATTTTGCATTAACATTATAGCCATCAATTTCCATTGAACTCCATAATTCAGCTAATACATTTCCTGCAAATTCAAAATTAGATCTTTCTAAATGTTAATCAATTGTAACGCCAGGTTCATCCAAATGAGACCCAAAATGGTCATGAGGCAATATTAAACCAGCCAGTTCCCGACTAAGAGGAGCAATTCTGCGCTCTACTCTGTTATACGCACTTCTTCCAGGAGCATTGGTAGCTAAAAACAATGCATCGAGATCATGTCGCTTAAAGTGTTGTATAGCAAACCATATGACTTTTTGATAACGTGGATTTTCATTTGGCCCTCCATTAACCGTCATGATTACCACTGGTTTTACTGGTCCATGGTCAGTTTTAGCTAATGGTCGAAACTCTTCAAGTTCGAGAAGCGTCTCGAAATCCTGAGCCTGCGTATTAGCAGAAGATGAACTATGCTTTCCACTTCGAATAGCGATATATGTTGGTCCAGAATATCCAACGGCTTGCGGTTGTCCTAGCATATTGGAAGTGATTTTGATACCAGCATAAACAGATGGTATTAATTTATGACGCTCAGCGATTACCCAATCGTGATCAGGCAATTTGATTCTATATTCCATAAGCATTAGAAGAGGTGCTTGCTTATTTGCCGCAGTTACCCTAAATAGGGACTCGAGCTTTATCATCTTGAGATATGAAAAATACTTGATCTGGTCCAAGTATGGATGCTATGTTCTCTAAATCATGGATTGATGTTTCAGCGAACTTGCTATCTAAGTGGTTCTTGTGCTGATCAGTTTGAGCCCGAATCAGCTTAACAGGGACTGTCGATACATGTCTTCGTCCCTCTGCAGAATTAGATTTTCTGGGAATCAAACGAAGATATGTCCCACTGCGACTAATGTCAAATCCTATTTTACGTAATTCTTCTGTGAGTTCATCAAGAGTTTTTACGCTGCGAATTGATTCCGTTCGTCTTCTATCATCTGCTGCACTCCCAAATAAAGCTATATTCGCGAATGTTTTCAAAGTGAATGTTGATTGCTTTCAAGATTCATTACCGGGTTTTATTTTATCTTGTTCCTCTTTTCTTAATATTTGAAGCTGACTGTATAATTTGTGCTTTTTCTGCAGGTTTACAGGTTGCCTAAAAATAAAAACGTTCTATGGCTTCTGCTAAAGATTCTCTCATTAAGTAACATAAATACAAAGTATGGCAATATATATGATAAATACAAATAAATCTAATATGATTAAACGAGCAATTCGTTCCGGTCACAAAATACAGGGTGTTAGTTTTCTGTAAATATGTATAAAACAAACATCCTGTACTTTGTGGCCAATTGACGGAATCAATCATAAGAAATAAATCTATAATATAATGGATATTACCTCTATACTTTGAGATAGGCCATAATATTTTCTAATCAGTAAAGAGAAACTTTTTGGCGATTTCTAATATTTCTAGTACTCATAGGTACCTAAAATGATTTCGTCACTCACTTTAGAAAAAAAAATTAGTAGATTTATTCTTAGTCGCCGCTTGCAATTCTTCTTCGATTCTCTTAGGTACAACAATATCTAGTTCCTTGTCGGATTTTGCTTGTAATTTGTAATTTCGCCACACTTCGTTAACTAACTTTTGTACATTTTGTACTTTCGTACTTGTATGAGATTTTTTAAAACTTTCAAACAATTTTTGGTATAACTTGGATTTGTCTGTGTGAAACGACATCTTATTTAAACATTAAACTTTGGCTAATGGAATCGATGGTAATACAAATGTTAACTTGCTTCACTATGCTTACAATACGTCTACTCGCTTTAGTATCCAAACGACACAATACACTGATAGAGGAAATTTAGACAAGTGAACACCGCGCGGTAATTCCCCTACTCGATTCTAATGTGAGTAGGGGAATTACCGCGCGCTGTTCCCTAAACGTATGCATTATTTGCGGGAATCCCCGAAAATGCGTTTCGTTTTCAAGCAAAGACAATGTGAGGGTTGCCATTCGTGTAAAAAAGTAAATAATTACCGAGGACGTACTCATCATCTAGATTCCCCTACCCCCCATGTCATCCAAAATAAGCAAAGCAAAGACCCAACCCCCGCCCCCCCATAGTGCTCACGTAATACTTGAACGGTCCCAAATCAGGAGATCTAGCAGGTCCTTCTATAGGCCCTCTCTAGATCCAGTTTGGATTTAGTAACAACGTCCAAGACATACATACAGGGTGACTTCGAAGTTGAGTCATTTATTTTAACAGTGAGTAGATCTGATCAAAAGAAATGTTTTTTTCCTTTACCATTTTTCTGGTAAAGTTAAAGTAACAAAGGTATAGCCCTTTGGAAGTTTGAGTACCGCCCTGTCTCAATAATATTATATGCTCGTGTTTGGCGACAATGGATATAATTCGCCTTATCGGTTCATCGCATCGGAAACAAAAAAGCGAAAGAATTTGGAACGATGTTTTTACAATTATTTCATTCAGTTGTATACAGTCGAGTGTCAGTCGGTAGTGGATAGTGGTGTCTGTTGCGTGGCTCAAACGAAATAAAAAATGGCACATGTTTATGCGGATCGGTTTCCCAATCGAGTGCAACCAACCCCTCGTGCCTTTGTTAATCTAGTACAACGGGTTCGTGAATCATTTGACTTAAGACCTCACATATGGACGGCATGCCGGTGCTCCAAGACCTCACGATCAAATACAGGTCCGCACTGAAATACTTGTCGGGAGGATACTTTATAAAACAAGGTAAACAATTTTTTTTAATTTTTTTTTATTTTTACACACATATTTTGGTTTATCTTCCTTCTACAATCACTATCTGAAAATTAATGACTCAACTTCAAATAATAATAATAATAATAAATGGCTTTATTCGAAGAGACAATGCATACAAAAATAGTGTTCAACAAATAGGAATAATTGCTCTCGAATCTCAAGGGGGAGTTCACGACCTGCGTGCTCTTCCACTCATCCCTTGCTCTATTTTAAAATATATATACGAAGTTATCTTCCCCGGATGGCTGGCGTTACACGTGACCTCAGTTTGTCGGGCACATTGATTTTTTGCACCATAAATTAGAATCATTTCCAGTCTTTTGGCTCGTGTGTAAACCATTTTGGAAGTAAAATCTGAATCAATAAATTATATTTCACAAGCCCAAGATTATCACAAAGGTAACTGACAGCAAATTAAATTCGTTCTTTCCCTTATCAACAAATAACTATACAGTTCGCTCAGGATATCTGTGTTGATGAAAACAATGCGGAAAAAATTCGGGTTGTTGCCATGTCTAGTCTTCCGAATAGCTGTTTATGTTGGTAGTTTCCGTTTTAAATTATAAACGAATTGTAGATTTGGCAAACACTGACGGGCAACATTATGAACACTTATTGAAATAAAAAGTGTTATTTTCGTGGGTTTTTGTTTTCTACCTGAACAAATTAAGATAAACAAAGATTTTTCTAATTTTCTTGAAAACGAATTGACTGAATTTGAAGAATCAAATGTCAAAATGAAGGGCTTAGAAAGACCTTTCAGACAAGCTATTAGGCGATACCCCTTATCGTTTAAAGCTTTTGAGGGAATGACCCTGGGGGTGAAATAGTTTTTGGTTAAAAAGTTGTTCCCCTTGGCAAAAGTATAAGTTTCGGCGTTTTTTCATTAATTCAGTGCTTTTCGATAAATCCGTGATGGGACACCCTGTATAGTATTTTCATCTTTTTCAGGCAAGATCCGTAGAATTTGCTCACATCTATGGAGTACCTGCAGTACCCGCAATTTCAACTTTCGTTGCACCGGCTTCGTATCTATACGCAGTCTCACCTGTGGCTCAAGCTGTGTCTTTGGGCCAACAAGCTGCCTCCACTCCAGCTCACGAGCAAAGGTGAGGTTTTCCTCTAAAATATCGTATTTGAATCATTATTACAGACTGTGAAACAGTCAAGAGTATCTTTCAATATTTTCTAGTAATCCTATGGCCAGAATTTACTATCCGGGGTGCAAAATTTGAAACTTATTTTCAGGAACGATCAACAATCTGCCGACAAAGATAAAGACTCGGTGGTAATCAGTGCAGCTGAGCCAGCTTTAAAATCGGCCGCTGATCAACCGTCAGAAGAGTCGAAAGCTGCCAATGAAGCTGAAGGTCAACCAGGACCAGGAGCTGTTCATGCAGTGAAAACGTTCACCGCTCCAGTGATCTCCTTCAAATCTGTACAGGATGTAGCTCCTTTGGTGCATGTCCCTGGTGGTTTCGGGTAAGTTTAACTGTTTTTTATACGTACACAACGGATAAACATGTCACAAACGGTCTGTCTGCCTGACCGCTGTATAACCTAGACGGTTCCACTTGTACAGGGTGGCCGATGTGTAACTGACCGGTTTATATCCTGAATATTTGTGAAATGGAATAAAATACGTCCATTTTTTCATCTTAATCTTTTACTGAAACTTGGAAATTACGCATGAAAAATGGTATCATACAAATATCCGCCTCTAAAAGCCGGGCAAACCTGAGCCCTCTTGATAACATTTTCCATCACTTTTTGGTTTGGTTTCGGGAGGAATATTTTCAATCGCTTCCGTAATATTGTTCTTCAGTATTTGGTTTGTTAGCATAAAGTCTATTTTTCAAAAATCCCCATAAAAAAGTCATGAGTGTCAAGTGCGGTGACCTTGATGGCCAGTTGACATCACCAAATCGAGAAATTATACGTCCCGGAAATATTGTTCGCAAAAGATTCATTGTTTCTCTAGCTGTGTGACAAGTTGCTGCGTCCTGCTGGAACCATATGTCTTGCAAGTTAAATGTTTAAGTAGTGGCATTGGACATGGCCTCCAAGGAAGGGTGGTCACAGAACTCTCCCAGCAAAAGTCAGCTCTACTATCGATATTGTTCAACAAAATTGATATCAAGAAATCAGAGTGTTGTTACATTCTTGTAATGACCATGTTTATGAAACAACGCGTTAGCATTCAGTTTGAATAAGCAAATTTCCCTTTCATTTCTTAAGAAAATTTTTGAAAAATGACCGAATGACCCTTTTATTTCTCAAAGAGTAGAGGGGTTATTTTTTCATTTTGTGCTTACAGTGATATACAGGCTGGCACATCGAAAACGAAACAGACGCATGTACTGGCAGGTCAGTTTTTTTTTGGAAAAACGCTCATACATGTCGATTTTGTTTTCGAAGGGGACACAAGTTTGGCAAAAAATTACGTTAACACGTGCAGCCCCCTGGGCGGGGGTGACATCAACCCTAAAATCTTAAATAGAAAGGGGGGTCGAGTGATCACTTATTTTAAAGGTCTTTCAATTCCTTTATAATGATGTAAAATACATGAGTTTCAGTTCAGTAGTTTTGAAGCTTTATTTACTTAAAGCTTAAAGTAGACTTTAATAGGTACATCAGATTAGTTTGTACTACTTTCAGAAGAAATTTGACTAAAATAATTTACTTAATAAGTAAATGATTTTTTGGAGCGTTTTTTTGTGGCAAAAAGTTATTTCTTGAAGAAAGATAAGGAAATATCTCGTAATTATTCTAAATAGGAATTTAGTACATAGTTTGCGATTGATTTGATCAAAGCTTGTTGCTAAAATAACTTGTAACGCTTTATTATATAAATTAACAGCAGAAATATTTAATGAGCGACATGAGAACAGAAACGTGCATCGAAAATATGTTCTAGAACTTGTAGCTAAATTTCGGGAAACTGGTCAGTCGCCAATAAAAAACGCAAGATTGAAAATCCCATAAGGAACGAAGCAATAGAAGTGGGGGTTTTAGGGTAAGTGTATGTAGATCCTACGTTAAGTACCCGCAAATTGGAGATTGTGTGTGGTGTTAGTCGACGTACTGTCCAACAGATTCTAAAGGCCCATAGTCTTCATCCGTATAAAATTCACCTGGTACAAGAACTTAATGAAGACGATTTTGATCGGCAATCACACTTTTGTGAAGATATGAGTGAACGAATTATAAACGATGAACATTTTCTATTCAAAACGTGCTTTTGTTGGTCCGATTCTAATCCCAAGATTTATCGTGAGGTTCATACACACCAGCCACAAAAATTAAGTGTTTGGGCTGGTATTTTTGGCGATCATTTAGTTGGTCCTTTTTTCTTACCTGGAAATTTGACCGGTGAAATGTATTCGGAATTACTGGATGACGCCTCGAAAACAAAATCGACGGGTCTGAGCGTTTTTCAAAAAAAAAAACTGAGCTGCCAGTAAATGCGTCTGTTTCATATTCGATGCGCCACCCTGCATGTATTGTTTATTATTTATTTTCTTCTTGTAACTAAGGTTCTATTATATTGACTTGTGTAGACACGTTCTGTGTAATAACACCAATAAACCGTCTACCCTACTGAGCGAGTAGAGTATTACATCTTTTGACTCCAGAACTGGCTCAGGCGTGTACTTGTAATATGGCGGAGGAGATTGTACCAAGTTAAGTTTACGAGCTAGCTGTGAATGGATTATTTTTGCAAACTGTGCGCGAGGGAGGTACAGCCGTTCGGTTGATGCCTTTGGGTGGTGACAATTTTGTGAGCTTTACATGAGTGATTCTGTCTAGCTCTTCAAGGTCTGTATTACTCCATTTCACAATACTGAACGAATATGTAAGTGAACTTATTGCCCAACTGTTGATTGCTTTGAAAAGATTCTGCGAGTTTAATTTGGTGTTGAGTAGTTTTGTAAGCCGACGGATGTACTTTTCTGTATAGATTGACTTCACGGTAGAATGACACACACCCCTACTTTGGTGCATCCCCAGGTACTTATACGGTTGGTCTTCTGCTAGAGGCGCGATGTTTTCTAAATTTTCTTCCAGAAGAGTTATTTTACCTTTCCTTATAGTGACAGTGGCGCACTTATCTAACCCAAATTTCATTCCTATATCATCGCTGAATATACTTGTCGTTCGCACTAGAGAAGCAAGATGTTGCCTTGACTCGGCGTAAACTGATGAAAATTTTTCAAAATTTCCTAATTAAACAGCAATTATGAAGACGCACAAGGACCCTTAAGGATAACTGTTTGCACAACAGTGGGCGTCAAAATGCTGCTGATGATGATTTACCTTTACAGCAATTGCTCAAACTGTTTTCCTTCAGCCGCAATACACGCTCGACATCTTCTTAAAAAAGATCGGGTTATTAAACGAGCGAATCCACGGCTATTAACAAACTCAGCTGCTTCCAATAGTCTTTGCCGTAGCTCAGCTACATTTTGAATCGGCTTGAAATACACTTTTTCTTTTATAGTTCCCCAGTGAAAAAAAATCTAACGGATTTAAATCTGGTGACCGGGCTGGCCACGGTATTGTACCAGACCGCCCTATCCATCTGCCTGGAAAGTTTTGAGCGAGATTCTCTCTCACTGAATACTCAGTGGCACGTCCTCCTATAAACTTTCTAAATGATTTTGCAAAAAACCTAAATAAACCTCAGCAGTCAAAGTCTCTGGGAACTCAAACGGACCGATTATTTTACCATTTAAAATTCCTGTCCAATGGTTTATCTTGAAGCGATATTGAGATTTATCTTCTCTCATCAAATGTGGGTTTGCTACGTGCCACTCGTGTAAGTTATGCAGGTTCATGTACCCATCTTTCTTAAATGTGGTCTCATCTGACCATAAAATTTTTTCAAAGAACCGTGGATCTTCCCTGTGTCTTTCTAACATTGTGCGACAAAAAGCAACTCGGGGCTCATAATCCCGGGGCAGAAGAGCTTGAACACTCTGTACGTGGTATGGATGGAGCACGTTTTTTTGCAAGATTCTATGGGCTGTACTTTTGGGCACACCTGTTTTTAGTTCTATTGCACGCACTGAAGTACTCGGGTCTTCTTCGACAGCTTCTAGCTCCACGTCTTCGTAAGGAAGGAAAGATCTTCCCTCACCGTGTGATTGGTTTGGTAGTTGGCCCTCTGAGAACAGTAAGCGCTGTACATTTGTGAACACTCGATGATCTGGATGACGAGCTGCATTCGGGTACCTCTCACAGTAAAGTCTCGCTGCAGCACTAGCGTTGCATCTGCATTCCCCATAAATGAGGTGCATGTTAGCATATTCTTGTACGGTGTACACGGACATAGCGGCACTGCACAATCACACTATCAAAGATAGTCTAAAGAAAGCAAATGTTGTTTTGAAGAGCAATTAAACAGTCCAAATCCAAATCACAAGCGATCAACAGTCCAGTTCACGAATCCAAAATTAGTAACAGTACGAAATCAACAAGCAGGAACATGTAAAGATGCGCAGTAAACGAAGGAGTACTGATCGGTATCAAAGTGTGCAATAGCAAGTAAGTGATGTGCTTCATCCATACCACATACAGCGCGTTCAACCTCTCCTGCCCCGGGATTATGAGCCCCGAGTTGCTTTTTGTCGCACAATGTTAGAAAGACACAGGAAAGATCCACAGTTCTTTGAAAAAATTTTATGGTCGGATGAGACCACATGTAAGAAAGATGGGTACATGAACCTGCATAACTTACACGAGTGGCACGTAGCAAACCCACATTTGATGAGAGAAGATCAATCTCAATATCGCTTCAAGATAAACCATTGGACAGGAATTTTAAATGGTAAAATAATCGGTCCGTTTGAGTTCCCAGAGGCTTTGACTGCTGAAGTTTATTTGGATTTTTTGCAAAATCATTTAGAAAATTTATTGGAGGACGTGCCACTGAGTATTTACAGGGACATGTGGTTTCAGCATGATGGCTGCCCAGCGCACTATGCACTCTCAGTGAGAGAGTATCTCGATCAAAACTGGGGGAACTGTAAAAGAAAAAGTGTATTTCAAGCCGATTCAAAATGTAGCTGAGCTACGGCAAAGACTATTGGAAGCAGCTGAGTTTGTTAATAACCGTGGAGTCGCTCGTTTAATAACCCGATCTTTTTTAAGAAGATGTCGAGCGTGTATTGCGGCTGAAGGAAAACAGTTTGAGCATTTGATGTAAAGGTAAATCATCATCAGCAGCATTTTGATGCCCACTGTTGAGCAAACAGTTATCCTTAAGGGTCCTTGAGCATTTTCATAATCGCTGTTTAATTAGGAAATTTTGAAAAATTTTCATCAGTTATTTTTTCAAATAAAAATTGTGCATAAGTTAACGAGTAATCTTCTAAGTGTTAAACCATTTTGGAATCGTTATTAAATGCGCCAACTTTTAAGGTTACTTGCCAAACTCTCGTAGTACATTTTTTTCCAGTACAGCCAGTTAAAGTTGAGCAAAGTTTTACTTTGGAATACTCGGTTGGGAAATAAGTGGAAATGTTTCCTGAACGAGAAAAGTTGGCAGTAAGGTTGAGACACCAGTTTGAAGATGCATTATTCATCATTACATCGTAAAAATAAAATCCAAAAAAAGTTAATATTTGTAGTAACAGGAGTTGACAGACTGCCGTAGGGTGTGAAATTTCTATATCTTTTTCAAATACCTATAATTTTCAAAACACATACATAAATTTTTTTTAAATATTTTTCTGATAGCTGTTATGACTTTGCCTATCACCCGGTTTCGGCTTGACGTCGACTTCTGGGACACCCTGTATATCCAGCACCTTTAAAAGCCAATTATATGGCACGGAATCAAACGCCTTAGAGTAGTCGATGTAGCAGACATGGAGATTTCTCTTATTTTTACACGCGTGCTTCGTAATAACGGAATCAATTATAAGTTGCTCTTTGCATCCGAAAGAACCACGGACACACCCCTTCTGTTCTGTAGCAATGATATTGTTGCTTTCACAGTGAGTATATATTCGGTCATTCAAAAGTGCTGTTAGTAGTTTATAAAACAGAGAGAGACATGTAATTGGTCTATAGTTTTTCGGATCCTCAGGATTGCCGTTTTTAAATATAAGATGTGTTATTCCTTTCGTCAAGAAGTTAGGTAATATCTCCGGGTTGGCGATTGCTTTAGAAAGTGATCGACCCAATGCAGCATGCGTGCTTAGGAACTTCTTGAGCCAAAAGTTCTGAATATTGTCGGGTCCCGGCGCTTTCCAATCAGCAGGTTTAAAAATGAGCTATCGTTATCGCAGCTGGGGGGTACTTTAATTTTCCGTTTAATATCTGCAATTTTCTTGATCAAATTTTAAAGCAAAATACTCCTAAAATCAATAGCAACAACAAGAACAACAATGACATGAAATCCATATTAGTTACTCCCGAAAGGATCCAACATTATAATGACACCAGAAAAGACCTAACTAGTAACATTAATCTAGCAAGTATTGAAGTCAAGATAGAGAAAGTAAATAATTATAAAAACGGTGGCGTCGAAATTCAAGTTGAGCAATGTTATTACCAGAAACTCAAAAATGAACTAGAAACTAAGTTGAATGGAAAATACAATATATCAGGAGCAAGAGAAATGAGACCGAAAATTAAGATCATAGGCTACAAAGCTGGAAAAAAACCTTCAGAAGCAGACATTAAAGAAGAAATCATATCCCAGAATACATTCATTAATGAAAACGAAATCGAAATCACTTTTGTACGACACATACCATTCCGAAATTCTTATACTATATTCGCTGAAGTTTCTGGAGAGCTATATATAGACATATTTATCAACAAGAAATCAAGAATACTACTAGGTTGGCAAAACTTATTTCTCTATGACAATAACCAGATATCGTAGTGTAGAAAATGCTTGAAGTTTCGCCACACAGACAAAAAATGTAGGGGCGCGGAAATGTGCATTAAATGTGAACAAGCACATAGAAGTGAAATTTGTACTGTAAACATTTTAAAATGTTCTAACTGTATGAACTATAACATTAAGCATAATAAGAATAATGATGTTGGTCACTCGCCCACAGACAAAAAATGCCCGTCGTATTTATATTTTCAAAAACAGTATTCATCCAGAATAATGTTTTGAGCGTTTAGTTCTTTTTACGTTTTTCGAGCTACATATCATTTACAAAATTTTACATGGATAGTTACGTAAATAATTTTCAGGTTAATGATATCAATACAAATATTGCTCAAGACGCAAGTGCTCTTAATAAATGGTTAGAATGTTCTAATTCCAATGTTAGCTTATATCACATGAATATACGAAGCCTAAACCAAAATTTTGACTGTTTTAATATCTTCCTAACTACAATTAAACACAAATTTGATATAATAATATTAACAGAAACTTGGAAAATTAATGATGTATCTTTGTTCTGTTTGGAAGGTTATGATACGCTTTACAATAATGGCACGTACAACCAGAATGATGGGGTGGTAGTATATGTAAGAAATGATATCAACTACAGATGTGATTTTGTTAAATTTGATCACGGTATCACAGTGTTGGATTTGATATTGAGAATTAATAACAAAAGTGTAAAAGTCACATCTGTCTATAGACCACCATCATCAAACCCTTATACATTTGTAGAAAATCTTGAAAAATTTTTGTTAGATAACAAAAATGCCATACAGTCACACCACATCATAATAGGAGATATGAATATTAATATACTCCAACATACCAAATTAGTAAACAAATACCTCACTATAATGCAGAGCAATGGATTCATATCAAATATAAATTTACCAACAAGAGCAGTCAATAATAGTTCCAGTTCTTGCATTGATCATTGTTTCATCAAAAATTTTTCAAATTTCTTTCGGTACATACCGTTAATTGTTGAAAACCATATTACCGATAATTTACCCACTGTAATACTTATATCATCACCAGACAAAAATAAAAGTAGATCCATCTCCAATAATGAAACAGTGAAATTTAGGTGTTTTGTCTATAATAAAAAACTACTTGCAAATATCAAATTAGAATCGTGGACAGCAGTGTACTGTGCAACGAATGTTAATGATGCTGCAAACACACTCATTGAACGCATAAAATATTTAATTGAATGTAGTACAAACAGAGTTAAAATTAAACATTTTGACAGAAGTAGGAATCCCTGGATAACTAAAGGTTTGATAAAATCTGCCAACAAAAACTGCCAACTATACAAAATAATGAAAGCATCGCCATGTGTAGATACCTCCCATAAATATAAAGAATATAAAAATATTTTTATCAATCTAGTTAGAGAAGCAAAACGCCAATTCTATCTAAAAAAATTACAAGATGCCAAATCTGATCCAAGAAAACTGTGGTCAATTGTCGACCACTTAACTAACAAAGACGTTCAAGAAAAGCCAAATATTGATGAAATTAAGAATCGTGATGGAACAATATTAACAGATAAACGACAAATATCCGATGCATTCTTAAATTTTTTCACTAATGTTGGAGAAAATTTAGCATCCAGTATTAAAAAAATGGTTTCGAACGAAAAGTTCACAAAAACCCAACTTCCCAATTCATTCTTTTTAGAAAGCGTTAGTCCGATTGAAGTACAAGAAGCTGTCATATCACTTAAAACCAAAAAAAGTCCTGGTGTAGATGGTATCAAAGCTGACCATTTAAAAATAATAGCCTACGACTTAGCCGAACCACTTTCTTACGTCATTAATTGGTGTTTCCAATCTGGAATTTGTCCTGATGCATTTAAAACAACTGTTATTACTCCTATTTATAAAAGCGGTGACAGAATGGAAACATCAAATTATAGACCCATATCAGTACTATCGAATATAGCCAAAATTTTCGAAAAATCACTACAAAAAAGGATATTACAATTTTTGGACAAAAACAAAATTATATGTTCTGACCAATATGGATTTAGAAAAGGAACATCTACTACAGATGCAATTTTGGCTGCAATGGATGAAATTAACTCTAATGTCAACAAAAAGATACCTACTATTGGTATCTTTGTTGATCTAAAAAATGCCTTTGATACGGTTAACCATGTCGAGCTTCTGAAAGTTATGGAAAGATTGGGATTTAGGGGAGCGTCACAAATCCTTTTAAAAAATTACCTTTCAAGTCGGGCACAGACTGTCAAAATCACTAACACTTACAGGAAAAAAATGTACATCAAGTGTGGTGTGCCTCAAGGAACAGTACTAGGCCCACTATTATTTAGTCTCTACTTAAATGACTTATTCAAAATTAACAGTTCTGGAAAGATTATATGTTTTGCAGATGACACCCTCGTATTATATAAAGCTGATGACTGGAGCACACTGAAGCAAATAGCTGAACAGGATTTTATAACGATCATTGACTGGTTTGATACTAAAATTTTAACAGTTAACTTCAAAAAAACAAAATTTATTGCATTTACATCCTATTCAAAATTTTTACCTACCTTCGAACAAATTTCCGTTAATTATCATGGACAAAAGACCAAAATCGATAGAGTTAACACTTTGAAATATCTTGGAATATTTATAGACTCACATCTAAGGTGGGATAACCATATTAAATATGTTATCAAAAAAAATAGAAATGTTGCTTATAAACTCAAAATGCTTGCTAACATTCTTACAGAAAGTTATCTGCGAATCCTATACCATGCCTTAGTTGAAACCCATATAATATACGGCATCACAGCCTGGGGTGCCGCCTGCAAGACATATATTTCTGACCTGAATATAGCACAAAAAACTGTTTTGAAAGCCATTTTCCATAAGCCAAGATTATATCCAACGAACAACTTATATCAAGAAACAGGGATACTTGATACAAGACAACTTTATTTCTTACATGCCACCACCTTATACCATAAGTATTGTAATAAAAAGAAAAAATCCTATAAACACGAGCATAACACACGATTTCGAATAGGCTCATTTAATATCCAAAGACCACACAAAGCATTATTCAAAAAATCATTTAAATTCTTAGCAGCTAAATTATATAATGTAGTACCAAACGAAATAAAGATACTTAATTTTGAAAAAAAATTTAGAAGAAAATTGAAAGACTGGGTTAGTAATGTGCAACGAATGACTATACATAATTATATAGGAAACTAAAACTACAAAATTCCAATTACATTAATACCTTTTAGATTTAACAATAATTGTTATACACATATATGATTGATTGTTAGTTATTAAGATATAAACCACACACAGGCGATGCCTTCTGTGGTTTTTTCATATTTATTTGCCCATTTTTTGTATTTTGGCGAATAAATATTATTATTATTATTATTATTATTATTACACATGTATAGAACTGATTCTTGAGGTATGATATCCTGTTTCGTTACAGATACTCCTACGGGATAAGCGGATATTCAGCCTTGCCCTTCGCGTACAGTGGAAATCTGCTAGCTGTCCCTGTCCTGAAGACTGATTTGGAAAACCACGCATTGCACGAGAAAGACAGCAGGGAAGAAAGGAAGCATGTGAACTAATTTGTTAGTCATGTTTTTCCAAATTCATACCTGTATAGACAATAATTTAGTAAAACATTTAAACTTTCATCTTCTTTTTGTTCATTGATATTGTTTATTTACAAAAATTGCAAACGGCAAATCTAATCCAAAATTCTCATAAAGCACCTCTCTAGTTACTCTTTTTTACATCCTACGCCACCAGGCGAGGATGTAATGTAATCGCAAAAATGTTCGAAAATGAGATACAAGGGCAGTCCGATAAGTACTTGGCCTACAAAAGGAAAACGAAATTTTTGAAAAAGTGACAATTTACTTCTCAACAGTCTCGTTTTACCTTGATACACACGACCCAGCATTGCTCCAACCTCTTTTACTCGTCCGAAAAATAAGGGCTAAGTACTCATCGGTCCGTCCTCGTAAATGCTATGAGGAACTTGAAGAAACTTTGTTATTCCGGTCTGCGAATATCCCAAGGTTAGCAGAACTGAGAAAAGCCTCCTGATATGTCCCGAAGATTACGGGACGCACTCTGTATCTTTAAAGCAGACTGCGAGCAATTTTTCAATAAAAATTAAACTCACGTTTATATTCATTCATGAAGTGAATTAGGCCGTTCGTCCAAAATGGTGCCAAGCAAGTCATTTACTCGAATTAATTCTGTTCTTTATGTTTTCTGTCAAGGTGTTACTACTTTTTACCGGATCGTTTCGGATTTGGGATCCAGGAACCCCCAAAAATATGTTTGCAAAGTACATTCCAAAAACTTTGCGATCCATGAAATTTTTGCAATTAGAGATAGTGAGATTTTTTAATAAAGCGTGTATTGGTCAGTAGTACGGATACCATTCAGAGAGCAAGAGATAGTACGGAGGTGTCATTAACACAGTGTGTGTGCCATATGGTGAAACAAAAAAAAAACGGAAAAAAGATAGAGGTATTTTAAGTAGAGAGAAAAGAAAGTATGTATTCTAAAAATATTACTAAATAAAGCTATGAGAATCATTTTAAATAAAACAAATATGCTAGGATTAAGTCTATGTTAGAAGAACTGCAGTGGTTGGATGTGAACAATTTCATATATTATTTAGTTCTCGTTTATTCAAATTAAAAAATCATTTATTACCACCACATTTAGATAGAAATAGTCATTATTATAACTACGAAACTAGAGGCAGTATAGATTTTCATCTGCAAAATTGTAATAGTAGCATAACTAGTAAATCTATATTTTAAAAGGGCGTATTTGAATTTAGTAAATTGAACAATGATATTAAACAGAGTTCGAATTTAAAAATGTTTAAGGTGAAATTAAGAAATCACTTTATGAATAACCAAAATACATAGTGACGTAAATTTAATTTTAATTTGCAATTTTTAAATGTAAAATTATAGAAAATGGATTGAAGAAAAATATGTAACCGAATTATTACACAAAATTGACATTGTAGCATTAATGCTAAATAAATCTTCAACAACAACAACAAAAATATGATTAACAGATATTAGAAAAAAAGAATATAGGTATATAGCTATATTATGTAATGTTCACACGTAGATATACAGGGTGTCCTAGAAATAACACGCCAGAGTGACATGGAAGGTAGATTGGCTTCAGATCAATCAGATGAAACCAACGTGACCTCAGTAAAAGTTTTCAAGATATTGTCACTTTTAAGTTTTTTAAAAAATCGTTAATTTTTGCTCCTCTTTTGCCTGTTATGGCTATAAAGAACTTCTAGCTTATAATTTTTTTCCTGGGATACAGTTAACAGTTGGTTGAGAGAACCGGGTATTCATTTTATTAAAAACTAGCACAGTATGCTAAAAAAAATTATTACATTTGGTTTCAATTCGAAAACCTTCACTGAAGTCTGACTAATTACTGTGAAAACATGTACCAGACTGGATCAGCAAATTACTTTGAAAACTAGCTATTTAATGCTCTTTCAAAAATAGTATAACATTTGTAGGTTATTTTTACTAAAAACTGAATAATCCCAACTTTTGTCATTGAAGTCGTAATGCTTACGAAACACTACAAATAAAATATAGTAAGTGCAGCTGTCTTCTGTGTCCAAATTACAACTTTGTGGATAGATAGATAGATAGTAGCTTTATTGTCCAACAGTGGCCAATTAACAGGACAATATCTAACAAAATCCATAAAAAGGAAAAAGAACTGGGTGGTTTTCCTCCTAGAATAACTCATAGTTTTACATTTGGGTACATTAAGAAATAACTTATTGGTATCACACCAGTGCTGGAGGGTGTCAATTGAGTCTGAAGGAAAGTACAATCATTCAAATAAATAATTGATAACGGAATATATTTTCAAATCATCCGCAAAACATAAGCGCTCACTCTGCAAACCTTCACATAAATCATTGATGAATTGCAAGAACAGCAAAGGACCCAAACTTGAACCTTGCGGAACACCGGATGAGGATAAGTCAGTATCAGAACGAAAATTATTATAAGAAACAAATTACCACCTCGAAGATAAATGGGATTCAAAGAGGTCCCTAGCAACACTAGAAAAACCAAATGTGATTAACTGTCCAAGCAATACATCATGATTTATTCGATCGAAGGCCTTCGAGAAGTCCGTGTAGATGACGTCAACTTGACTATTGTTTTCCAATGCCTCCGAAATATATTGCGTTATGTTAACTAGATTTGTAGTAGTTGAACGGTTTTTAATAAATCCAACTATAAATACGATTCTAGAACATGCACAAAATGTAGATCAGAAGATCATTTGGCTCCAGTTTTTAGCACAGGCGACACTTTGGCGACTTTCCAAAGTTTCGGAAACTTCTTCGACAAATTAAAGAATTTTGTTAAAAAAAACCACGAATGCTCCGGCACAATCCTTGATCAAAAAGGATGGAATATTATCGGGACCTGAAGTCATTTTGTTCTTAAGATTCTTAATAGCAATCGTTACTTCATTATCATAAATTTCATCAAAATGTACATGAGCAACATTGTTGAAACTATCGTCCACATTACCCAAATTGGCTGCTTGAGACTCTATGTAGACATTCTTGAAAAATACACTAAAGGCATTCACAATGTCTTGCGGATTATCAAATGATTCGTTAAGGTAAAACATCCTTCCAGGGATCATCGTCATCGTCATCGTCATCGTCATCGTCATCGTCATCGTCATCGTCATCGTCATCGTCACCGTCATCGTCATCGTCATCGTCATCATCATCGTCATCGTCATCGTCATCGTCATCGTCATCGTCATCGTCATCGTCATCGTCATCGTCAACCTCCTAGGATCATGCGATAATGAATTTTGAATATCTTCAAGGTAGTTGTCGTATGCACATTTGATCTGGACGTTCATCAATTTGAGTAGCCGCTGAAATCCGCATTCATCAGCTCCCCGACCAAACCTCCTGAATTTATTTCTGTACTTCACCTTTTGCTTGTGGTTGCTGTAATACCTTTTTATTTTAGCAAATGTCTAAAACAGCTATACATTATGCTCTTTTATTTATTTTTGTATGCAGGCATCAACATTAGGTTTAATTTTTTATGTTGTACCATCAGTAAAAAAATTGTGACACTGGGCTTACCACGCAAATCTGTCAAAGTTCAAAAAACATTGTTTTCGACACAAGGAAGTCGCTCTGAAATAAAAGTTGGCTACGAACCTGTCTGGCAGAAAAATGAAATCAGTCCAGAGTCCCCACCCATTTGATAACATTGTGATCTAGAAATTACTTCACTACCCTACCATCATTCTCGACCATCGGGCCACGATGCTATGATTAACCTCGTCACTTTGCCAGCCACGGCACCACGGCAACCATCACCGACTACGAAACACGGACTCCTCAAAAACACTTGTTGAGCATTTATGGACACACCCCAGGAGCATAGTACATACCTCATATCGTGTCTCACCTTGAACATAGTAAACAGTAACTATCTGTGCTTCAGTACCTATCGGTCAGGCATCACCGTGTGTTGAAAATATGTTTCTATTATAGTAAAGCTAAGTGTCCACAAGGAGACTAAAGTCTCAAGAGATTTTTGTCTTATAAGAAATCTCGGATGTGTTTCAACAGAGCCTAGGAATTTCTTTGAAACAGTTACACTTGAGTTATGCTACTTCCAATTTTTGCTCTTACATGATCTAATCGCTATCATCATCGTCATCGTCATCGTCATCGTCATCGTCATCGTCATCGTCATCGTCATCGTCATCGTCATCGTCATCGTCATCGTCATCGTCATCGTCATCGTCATCGTCATCGTCATCGTCATCGTCATCGTCATCGTCATCGTCCTCGTCCTCGTCATCGTCAACCTCCTAGGATCATGCGATAATTAATTTTGAATATCTTCAAGGTAGTTGTCGTATGCACATTTGATCTGGAGCTTCATCAATTTGCGTAGCCGGTGAAATCCACATTCATCAGCTCGCCGACCAAACCTCCTGAATTTATTTCTGTACTTCACGTTTTTCTTGTGGTTGCTGTAATACCTTTTTAGTTTAGCAAATGTCTAAAACAGCTATACATTATGCTCTTTTATTTATTTTTATATGCAGGCATCAAATTAATTAACAGAACATTAGGATTAATTTTTTATGTTGTCCCATCAGTAAAAAAATTGTGACACTGGGCTTACCACGCAACACTGTCAAAGTTCAAAAAACATTATTTTCGACACAAGTAAGTCGCGCTGAAATAAAAGTTGGCTACGAACCTGTCTGGCAGAAAAATGAAATCAGTCCAGAGTCCCCACCCATTTGATAACATTGCGATCTAGAAATTACTTCCCTACCCTACCGTTATTCTCAACCATCTGGCCACGATGCTATGATTAACCTTGTCACTTTGCCAGCCACGGCCCCGCGGCAACCATCACCGACTACGAAACATGGACTCCTCAAAAACACTTGTTGAACATTTATGGACAAACCCCAGGAGCATAGTACATACCTCATATCGTGTCTCACCTTGAACATAGTAAACGTTAAACAATCTGTGCTTCAGTACCTATCGGTCAGGCATATCCGTGTGTTGAAAATATGTTTCTATTATAAGTGTCCACAAGGAGACTAAAATCTCAAGAGATTTTTGTCTTATAGGAAATTTATCTCGGATGTGTTTCAACAGAGCCTAGGAATTTCTTTGAAACAATTATACTTGAGTTATGCTACTTCCAATTTTTGCTCTTACATGATCTAATCGCTATCATCATCGTCATCGTCATCGGCATCGTCATCGTCCTCGTCATCGTCATCGTCCTCGTCATCGTCATCGTCATCGTCATCGTCATCGTCATCGTCCTCGTCATCGTCATCGTCATCGTCATCGTCATCGTCATCGTCATCGTTATCGTCATCGTCATCGTCATCGTCATCGCCATCGTCATCGTCATCGTCATCGTCAACCTCCTGAATTTATTTCTGTACTTCACCTTTTGCTTGTGGTTGCTGTAATACCTTTTGATTGATTATTATTATTATTATTTTTGGAACAGTTTTTCAAAATGTCTATCGCAGACTCTTATACACAACCTTTATCTTCTTAAAGATTATCCTTTTACACTTCTCAAACCTATTTCGGATAATTTACGTGCTGGTTGACGGATTCGATGACACAGTTTATCGGCTGATCGAACTGGTTTTCCCTAGACCTTATCTTTTAAACATCCCCAGTAAAAAAATATAATAAATTTAAGTTTAAGGTTTTCATATTGATACAAAATGAACTATTTTGTTTTAGCATACCGTGCTAGTTTTTAATGAGATGAATACCAGGTTGTCTCATCCAACTCTAACTAGAACTAGAAAAAACATATCTTAGAAGTTCTTTATTGCCATAACAGGCAAGAAAGGAGCAAACAGTTTTCACCACCGCATATATGACCTTCAAATTGATATTGACAAGTCTTATATCATGTAACATGATCTAATAGGACAATAGACTATCTATCTATCTATCTATCTATCTATCCATGTTGATTTTACCTGATTAATGTGCAGCCAATCTATCTCCCATGTCAGTCTGGCGTGTTATTTCTGAGATATTAAACGAAGCACTTCTTAATTCCTGAAATCCACAACAGAAGATATTACAAAAACTCCCAATTCTATTCGCATTGTTGCAAATAAAGTTTATCGGTGCTTTAAATAGAAGATTTGTCTGTGCCCTCTTGCAGAAAAACGAGACTTTAAATTTGGATGTTAATCTAGGTACCAGGAAATCAATTTGAGATAGCAAGACAGGACTGTCGATGTTACCATGCAGTAATTTGTCTCTGCGCTCTCCAATAATAATGAGTAGTCACCATCCTCTTGGAGGACAGACACCATCACCCCTTTAGCATAGATATTTTAGAAATTTCTTTTCAATATTATTTTTGTAGAGTTCATATACACTGCTTCAAATAATTGCACCGTATTTTGATTTACTTATAACAAGCGTTTTGATAATATAGCCATATGTGTGATCCTCATTACTTATAATTTCACTGATGTGGTAGTTAACGGTGAGCTGACAAACGAAATATACGTCCAAATTTTTGGAAGTTTGGGATCACTCTGTGCATATGCCTGAAGTATTTGCACTACAAAGGCGCTGCATCAGAGTGACTTCGACAAAAATTAAGCAAAGAGGACTCTTTATACTTTTTTAATTCTCTCTAGCTTTCAATGGACTTTGCCATCATCATCAGGAGCTGCAATTACAATGATAACAGTAGCAACAATAGTGTAAAATGAATGTAAATTGACTCAACTTACAGTAGTATGTGAGGATGTTGCTAATTGTTGTTTACGTATAGGATGAGGGAAACGTCCAGTAACATGGTGAGAGCTGGATAGATGGTACAATGGTCAAAATTATATAAAATATGACAAGAACAAGTTAAAAACAGATTAAAAATTATTTAAAAAACATTAAAGCATTACATCGTGAAGCCACTTGATGATTGCACAAAATGGTGGTCATGGAATAATGGTCTAACTGGTCTAGACGACAATGACCACGTCTCAAAAAAAAATATATATATATATATAACAAAAAATAGGAAAATAATGGGCAAAATCCGCAAAAAGGAGGGAAGTGGATTCGAGCAGAAAATAGGATAGGTGATGATCTCAAAGACCTCAAGTCAAAAAATTTTACATGAAGAATTAGGAGTAAGAAAATTAGTTTCTCGTTGGATACCCCACCTGTTGAATGAAGAGCAGAAAGCAGACAGGGTTAATTGGTGTCAAAAAACGCTTGACTGTGCAGCATTGTTAGTGGTGATGAATCGTAGATTTACTGTTATGAACCAGAAAATAAACGACAGTCGGCTGTTTGGGTGTTCCAAAGTGAAGAAAAACCAACAAAAGTCATCCATTCTCGAAGTGTTTCGAAAAATATAACCTTTCGGACCTCTTATAATGTTGTTGTAGTGTGCTTTTCTAATTTTACTCTGTTAATTTGTTCGGTTGTGTTTGTTCAATAGTTTTGTATTTATTTTACATTCATAATATCATTTTACAGTTTTTCTCTTAATGTTTGTTATTTTTTACAGTTTTATGTTAATGTTGCTTTTTCCAACAACTCCAACTCACACTTTTGTATTTTAACTTCGATTTTAACCTGTATAAGCGCGCAAGTGTACTAAGCACCAATAAAGAAAGGAAATGAATATTGGATTTTTTACATTCATGCCCTACTTTATTCAGCATTCAAAAGCCCCAGACACTACAACAGAGCTGGTTACGTTTTAGAACCGCTGACGAGGATGTAGTTATTCAGCATCATCCAAATCGCTAATATCCGGGCCCTCCTACAGGCCAGACTCGATTGCGTACTCGCGAGACTGCTTAGCCCTGCGTGGTCAGTCGATTTCGCGACAATGCTCTCATCTCTGACCTCCGGCTCTTACTAGACCTCCAGGTACCTATAGACCTGAAGTACCTATTTGACCTCCGAGTGCTACGCCTCCAAAATCTCAAACACCTACTGCATCTCCAGACAACAATCCGCAAAAATAATACGTACTAGACCTCAAGTACCTAGTTCACTTACGAGTGCTTGACCTCCAAAATATCCAACACCTACTGGATCTGAAGGTAATAATCTGCAAGTGCCGAGGTGATACAGATCCAGAACCTGCTATTCCCCAAGTACCTGGTTGACCTCAAAAATTTGCAGCAGCTACTGCATCCACAGGTAACAAATCCTCAGGTATTAGACATCAATTTCCTGCTAATTCTCTTGGTGCGGTGTCCACAAGCGTCAGATCTCAAGAACCTACTTGACCTCCAGATAATAGACCTGAAGCACCTGCCAAGCTTCTGCAGTATCTACAGGACCTTCAAGTGTAAGATCTCAAGTACCAGATTTGCAGACTCTAAGCTTCAAGAACCTACTTGACCTCCAGAAGGCTTGCAGGATCTCAGTGAGAATGAGTAAGAAGAAGTCAATACCTTCGAGGAGTCTCAGTAAACAAGATGAACTTCTCAGCGTACAGGCTCAGTACTTCAAGCGTTTGGATGAGCAGCAGCTTAGCAGATCGGATAAGTTCAAGAGGTTTATATGGAATCCGAAAAATGGGGAGTTTTTTGGAAGAACAGCCAGCAGTTGGTGTGAGTAGAATTTTTATCAAAATTCTTATAATCTTCAACTTTCTAAGCTTTAAAAATTCCGAAAATCTTGAAATTTTTGAAAAACCTATAAACCCGTGAAGAGAACCGTGAAATACAAATAATAAATTTCCACTTGAGGATCACTCACTTATACTATTCGTTCAAAATTCATGTGTGGGGCTTATCTGACTAACTTGATCTACTTAGTTCTTTCATTATACACGTTAGAGTCAACCTACATGACGTCATTTTTTTAAGAGGCACATGCACATATGCTTCTGTGACTCATCGCTCAGAAAACAGTCAGCTCCTAGACTAAAACAAAATGTGTGGGAAGTGAATCAACCTTTGAAATTGATGCGGGCTGTGCAAGAAAATCGCTACCAGAAATTATCCAGTAATGACATAATTTAATCTAATCCAGGCTAATAAAACGCGTTCGTGCGTCACTCATTTGACCACAGTTTAAGCACTTTAGTCAGAAGGTTAAGTTCTCATACAGTGTGGTACTAAATTCACGAACAAACATATTTTTTATGTTGTCCCATCAGTAAAAAAATTGTGACACTGGGCTTACCACGCAACCCTGTCAAAGTTCAATAAACATTATTTTCGACACAAGTAAGTCGCTCTGAAATTTGGCTACGAACCTGTCTGACAGAAAAATGAAATCAGTCCAGAGTCCCCACCCATTTGATAACATTGTGATCTAGAAATTACTTCCCTACCCTACCGTCATTCTCGACCATCTGGTCACGATGCTATGATTAAACTCGTCACTTTGCCAGCCACGGCCCCACGGCAACCATCACCGACTACGAAACAGGGACTCCTCAAAAATACTTGTTGAGCATTCATGGACAAACCCCAGGAGCATAGTACATACCTCATATCGTGTCTCACCTTGAATACAGTAAACAGAAACTATCTGTGCTTCAGTACCTATCGGTCAGGCATATCCGTGTGTTGAAAATATGTTTCTATTATAGTAAAGCTAAGTGTCCACAAGGAGACTAAAATCTCAAGATATCTTTGTCTTATAAGAAATTTATCTCGGATGTGTTTCAACAGAGCCTAGGAATTTCTCTGAAACAGTTATACTTGAGTTATGCTACTTCCAATTTTTGCTCTTACATGATCTAATCGCTATCGTCATCGTCCTCGTCCTCGTCATCGTCATCGTCATCGTCATCGTCATCGTCATCGTCATCGTCCTCGTCATCGTCATCGTCATCGTCATCGTCATCGTCGTCATCGTCATCGTCATCGTCATCGTCATCGTTATCGTCATCGTCATCGTCGTGGTTATCGTTATCGTCATCGTCATCGTCGTTGTTATCGTCATCGTCATCGTCTTCATCATCGTTATCTCTGGGCTCAGCTGCTTCCACAGTTTCTACGTAAGAGATCGTGCGAGAAACAGAGAAGAGTACACCACAAAATTATTAATCATTATGAAATAATTGCGGGTTAAAGATACCAACAAAAGGGATAGAATAAAATCGGATGCTTTTTATTATTACTTTGCTGTTATGTCTCGTATTGTAAACAAAAGGCTTCACAAATGTTAGTTGGTAGATTGGATTAAGAAAAGAGAAAATAACAATATAATGGAAACATCATTAGAAGAACTAGAACTGGAAGATCAGAAATGTTATAAAAAAAAGTGTCCACAAGGAGACTAAAATCTCAAGAGATTTTTGTCTTATAAAAAATTTATCTCGGATGTGTTTCAACAGAGCCTAGGAACTTCTCTGAAACAGTTATACTTGAGTTATGCTACTTCCAATTTTTGCTCTTACATGATCTAATCGCTATCATCATCGTCATCGTCATCGTCATCATCATCGTCATCGTCATCGTCATCGTCATCGTCATCGTCATCGTCATCGTCATCGTCATCGTCGTTGTTATCGTCATCGTCTTCATCATCGTTATCTCTGGGCTCAGCTGCTTCCACAGTTTCTACGTAAGAGATCGTGCGAGAAACAGAGAATATTACACCACAAAATTATTAATCATTATCAAATAATTGCGGGTAAAGATGCCAACAAAAAGCATAGAATAAAATCGGATGCTTGTTATTATTACCTTGCTGTTATGTCTCGTATTGTAAGCAAAAGGCTTCACAAATGTTGGTTGGTAGATTGGATTAAGAAAAGAGAAAATAACAATATAATGGAAACATGATTAGAAGAACTAGAACTGGAAGATCAGAAATGTTATAAAAAAAAGTGTCCACAAGGAGACTAAAATCTCAAGAGATTTTTGTCTTATAAGAAATGTATCTCGGATGTGTTTCAACAGAGCCTAGGAATTTCTCTGAAACTTGAGTTATGTACTTCTAATTTTTGCTCTTACATGATCTAATCGCTATCATCATCGTCATCGTCATCGTCATCGTTATCGTCATCGTCATCGTCATCGTCATCGTCATCGTCATCGTCATCGTCATCGTCATCGTCATCGTCATCGTCATCGTCATCGTCATCGTCATCGTCATCGTCATCGTCATCGTCATCGTCATCGTCATCGTCGTTGTTATCGTCATCGTCTTCATCATCGTTATCTCTGGGCTCAGCTGCTTCCACAGTTTCTACGTAAGAGATCGTGCGAGAAACAGAGAAGAGTACACCGCGAAATTATTAATCATTATCAAATAATTGCGGGTTAAAGATGCCAACAAAAAGCATAGAATAAAATCGGATGCTTGTTATTATTACCTTGCTGTCATGTCTCGTATTGTAAACAAAAGGCTTCACAAATCTTGGTTGGTAGATTGGATTAAGAAAAGAGAAAATAACAATATAATGGAAACATCATTAGAAGAACTAGAACTGGAAGATCAGAAATGTTATAAAAAATTAAAATTCTCAATAGAAAAACAAGACCACAAGAAACGTATTGTTTGAAAAAAGATAACTGGTACTTTGCAGAAATAGATATTGAGGCTCTAGATATTTTTTTTTTAAATTTACCCTGAAACAATGAGAAGATTATTTCATTAATATTACCGATTCAATTTAGTTCAGTTACTAGAAAAACTCGATTCAAAAGCGCCTAAAACGTGTATAGTAAAAACATTTTGAATACTGCATGTTTCGAAAAGAGCATGTAAGTTAATTGCTTCTGGTTTGATTAGATAACACGGCCAATCAATCTATTGATCGATACGTCTATAGTAAATCACAATGAATGGTTTTTTCAATGTAAATTGCAGGTTCTGCTCGCAGGTTGTAATTCTAACTATGAATGAAATCTGTATACCTACGAAATATTGAATTTTTAAATGATCGAGCTCCGTCATATTGGAATATGATAATAAAATGTCACATTGCGTTAATTTCAACTCAGTGGCCGTTGTTTATGCGTTTGCTGTCTAAAACTATACATCTATTGCCATAACCTGTGCTGAAATTTATTTTTACAGCCTGTACAAACCCTTATGTGCACAGAATTACCCTGTAGTCCCCTGATTTCAAGCAAAGCTATGACGTAAAGATGTACTCTCTTCAATATATATGAGTTTGTTGGTGGCACAATCCTTCGTTTGGGTTCTACGAGTTCCTTTTTCTGTTTTGAGGAGTCAACGTGCACAGAATCACCCTGTAGTCCCCTGATTTTTGCCAATGCTATGCGATATACAAAATATATGAGTTTGTTGGTGGTATAACTCTTCGTTTTTGTGCTGCGATTTTCTTAGTTTTATGTGTGATTATTCGTTCTTGTCATTTATAGGAATCACCCTGTATAACCCTAATTTAGCTTGAATATCGAATTTCTGGCTACTATCTAAAGTAATTTGTTTAAAAGCCATATTTGATGCACTTGATATCATATATTGAGAATCACAAATAATCATTCTCATAGAAGGGGTTTATGATTTTTGTCATCCACCAATCCTCCAGTTTCTCAAGTTTTCGATATTTTCAAAAAAATTCTTTTTTTATTTCCCATTAAAGTTTGTCTTAAAAGTTTTGGCTCAATTTTTTTCCGGATTTTTTTTAATTAAAAAATGTATCACTAGTTATCACAAATTACAACTCAATACTTAACTAAACTATACTATCGAATTTTGTGGAGTGGCCCATTCTGCTCTACCAGACGCAACTTTCTTAGAATGTCTCTCATGAGGTCCTGGACGGAATTCAGATCAATTTCTCTGAGTTTCAAAATAAATAAATGTCAACTGACAATAAAGTCAGTAAACAAACTTGTGTTTCCAACGGCAACTTATAGATACTTTTGCTTATTTCTAATTTATACATCTTAAAACGAACACGTCAAAATAAATGAATGTCATATGACAGTAAAATAAATACACAAGCTTTTGTTTCCAAAGACAACTTGATATTATTTGGTGTTTGTTAAAATTAGCAGCCAATGAATTTTGAACAAATAAATTTTTATTCATTTTATGTTGACAATTTCGACTTCGAAAAAAAACGCCAATCTACTTATAAATCAATCATAATCACTTTTAAAACACCAATCCTCTGTAGATTGAATTTTAGGCAATCAGCTATACACGTTCAATGGACAAGTTCATACAATACAAACACTGTTGTATGGGTAAACCATGGGTGCGGGCAACGTATTCAAGGAGGGTCAAGCACAAAATAATCGATATTATATCATATGGTGTAAACTGAAGACGATTTTTATCAATGGGCGCCACCAGTGCTGTGCGCTCTACAGAAAAGGAAAATCTAACATTCGAATTAAGTCCAAAAAGGTTCAGTCTTTAGCAGTACAACTGAAAATCTTCTGCTAAAATAATGAAAATAGTTCAAAAGAGTGAATTTTATTGGTATATCCGTAAGACATTTTCGTCAAGTAGATTGACGCCATTTTCTCGCGACGATTCGCATCTGTAAATATTTCTCTAAGTTTTAGGAGGAAATGTGCGGGAAATTTATGACGTATGAAAAATGTCTCATATATGCATAAAAACACCGCGGCTGGAAGTGTATCAATACACCCTAGAAACTCCAGGTCATTAGGCTTATTCAAGAGAAAACTAATGAAATAGTTACACTAAAATAGCTAGAATCAAAATATACCGACTGGTTAAACTGTTTAATAGCTACTATTACTCAAATAAAACATTCTCAAAAATCTTTTTTTTGTTTATAATTATTGTTTTTAGCGCTTCTGGATTCAAGTTTGCTGTTTTGTATTTACTAAACTTGGCTCAAACTACTATTTACTACTCCCCACGTACCTATGCCTCTTATGGATTTCTATCTGGTAATTTGCATGATTTTGCATACTTTGTTGTAGTTTTCAAATTTAATAAGCCAGATGTTGATTGGTTGGTTAATCAAATTATTGCCTGATTGATTGACTGGTTGATCGATCAATTGATTCGTTGATTGACTGATTGGTTGGTTGATTGATTGATCAATTGATTGATCGATCAATTCATTGACTGATTGAACGGTTTATTGATGATTGAATAACTGATAGGTTGATTCGTTGATTGATTGATAGATTGACTGGTTAATTGATTGATTCGTTACTTGACTGGTTGATTGATTTATTGATTGATATAGCGATTGACTGATTGATTGGTTGATGGAATAATTGGTTGATTGATTAACTCATTAACGTACCTATGCCTTTTGTGGATTTCTATCTGGCAATTTTTACGATTTTGCAGACCTTGTTGTATTTTTCCAAGATAATAAACCAGATTCTGATTGATTGACTGATTGGTTGATTGATCCGTTGACTGATTGATCAATTGATTAATTGCTAGATTGATCCGTTCATTGATTTATTGGTTGGTTGGTTGACTGATTGATCTATTGATTGACTAATTGATTGTCTGATTGATTGATTAATTGATTAACACAACTATGCATTTTGTCGATTTCTATCTGGTATAATGATTTGAATGATTTTGCAGCCCTTGTTGTATGTTTTTAGAGGATAATAAACCAGATTTTGATTGATTGGTTAATTATATTATTGACTGATTGATCGATCGGTTGATCGATCTTTTATATCAATTAAATGATCCGTTCATTAATTGATTGATTTATAGATCGATTATTTTATTAATTGACTTATTGATAGATTGATTGGTTACTTGATTAATTCATTGACCGATTGATCGGTTGATTGATTCATAGTTTGATCTATTGATTGACTGATTGGATGAACATTTCTCCGCGTAGTACTAAAAAAACATTTCCAAGTAAAAATATTTGTGGAATATTAATAGAAAATGGGCGCCAAAAATCAAACCTTACCGAGACGCTGATGTTTCCGGGCTGAAGAAAATCATAAGCATGCAACTTTGTTGAACATATTTTATCCTAGAAGTAAACAATATTCGGGTCAATTCGAGAATTATACACATATTACATACATATTAGTCGATAAACAATAATCTACGCATACTTATCATAAATATGGAAGCTGTTAGATGTAGAAGACGCGGATATCAAAGGATCGATGATGAAGAAAATATACGTAAGCAGTCACTAGGTACGTGAAAAAATGTTTCTGTTCGTTATTTATGTGACATGAGAAAAAACTTTCTCGGTCTCTAGAGGACCAAATAAATCATGAAATTTTGCTAGCTTCTAGTGAGTTTTTAATTTACGCTTTTTGTCATCTGTTACGTATTCAATATAACGTTACTAAGCGTAATCCAAATATGTACTGCGAAATTCAAATCTTGCGGCACTTTTAGAGGGCGCATGTGTTGTGAGACGGAAAGTTACGATGGTGGAACGATAAATGTCTAGATAATATTTCTTGGCGATTTATGCTTAGTAGAACTGGGCAAATCTCCACAGGTAGATTGTTTCACAAATTCGATACCCTAGGGACATGGGAGCGGTTGTCTGGTAGGCATATCGCATGGCAGCAGCGAAGAAGAGCTCTGAGGAGCAAAGCCCGTTGACATAGCTATAAGAGAGAGCTAGATTGCCCATCAGTGTGAAAGAGTCCCTAGACTGTCCGTTAGAGAATAGAGAATTCCTGCAAATAGAGTGCCGTCTTCAGACGGATCCCTGGGGAACACCCGCGTTGACATTGTGGGATGAGAGAACCCGTCAATTACATGAATATCTTGCGGTGAGCCATGCATCTGTAAAGCTTCTCTGAGAGGCCATAGGATGCAAGTTTGCATAAGAACCAAACTCTGATACTTTTCAAAGCAGATTTCTAAATTCATGTTACTCCTTTATTTTACCTAAAAATAGTCAGGTAAAGTTTTAGTTGCAGTTGCATTATGACTGTACCCTTGCCCCCCGTTTTCTGCGCCCATGGTGTCCGGCGCGCATTCCGCCAAGAACGACCAACAACCAGCGCGGCAACAGAGCGAAGACGGACAGACCGTTGCCCATTGGTGAATAGTCGTGCCTCGCCTACCTGGATGACTGTAGTAGACAGTTATGCCACCGTGAGTAAAACAAAACACTGCCGCGCTTAGGTTAGAATCTCGTTACTTAAACTTTAGAAGTTAGAAAATATGGCAAAACCGGTACGCGACGAGTTGGAAACTCCTCTAAGAAGGAGGCCGTTCATCAGCAAAAGGATCTTCAATAAAGAAGAAAAGAAATTTCTGAATCGGACAGGGAAAAGTTGGGGTACGTACAGGTTGTTTACACCGCCTTGACTGAGTCACGCATGCCTGCTAGATAGCGATAGGGTGGTACCTAAGTACAGGTGGTTTCGGTTTAACAGCGCAGGTAGTACCCCTATCACTTGAGGATCGCAAAACGTTAAAATTCCATTTTTTGCATTATTTTATTGCCTTTGCATTTACGAATGTAGGTCAGTGAATTGGTTTGTTTTGGTATTAAATGCCCGCCGCCACACCTTATCGGTACCACTCGCGTATGCAATATTGAGAGAAATCGTTTGCTGATATGGTGAAAATATGAATATTATTGTTGATAGCCATACATGTTTTGGTGTTGATAAGATTGCTTTTACTTTCCGCGCACTAGCAGATAACGCAGAAATGTATTTTGTAGGCAGACGTAGACAAGGTTTTGGATTTCTTTGCTTTGAAGAAATTCTGCTAGACTTTAAGAATAAGATGATGAAAATTGGAGAGTCAGATAGTATTTGTTTTTTTGGCGATGATAAAAAATGTAATTTGTGATTTTTCGCGTATTGAAAATAAAATCTCGAAAATGATTTTATACTATCGGATTACAGTTTGTTTTTTTTTTTACGAAAAATATTAATATGGAATTTCTTGTTTCATTGAAGTTTGGGATGGATTTAAAGACAAATTAATAATATGGAAAAATCTGATTTTCATAGGACCTTCCCATCAGCGTTTCTGTGATAAAAGGGTGATGAAAAATGTTTGTATTTAAATTTTTCTCCTGCACCTATCACATGGGACAGAAATTATTTACTCATCACTACTCATTACAAAAGCTTGATGTTGTTCATTAAATAACATAAGGATAATTCCAAATTAATGATTTTTATTTATGAATTCTAGTAATTGCTAAGGTCAGGTATAGTACCAAGTATTATCTTCAACAAGGTCTAGGCCCATTATACAGAGCCCATCAAGTCATTCCTGCAAAATTTCTTAATGATGCGAGATGGGTTAAATGTTTCATTGTTTTTTTTTTAGCAAATATCTTTTGGTTTTCTCAGTATTACTAACGAAGCTTTCAGCAGTGATCCCGACATGACATCAAAATTAAGGCATTAATTGCGCTTATCACTTGTAGCGTTGTTCTATTATAAATCAATATTGCATTGTTCTAAATGAGACAAAGGTCCATCTGACATGTGTTAATTCCCAACAGATATATCTTTAATAATAATAAATTGGAAAGCTGAATTGGTCAATCAGTTTAACAAGATAGTGACAGTGTTGTAGCTCTTAATGTGATTCCAGAAGCCTGCAGTTTGTCCTCGTACTAGCAAAAGCATTTCGAGTTGTTTGCGATGACGTCACAGTTTTTTTTTTTGAGGGTAGGCAAAGCAGTTCTGAAGGCTTTTAGCTTGTAGATATGGCATTACCTCAAACGCCAGTGGCGAGGAAGTGTTGTAGATGCGAAAATGAATTATTTCGTTTTTTAGATGTTACATGACATGTACATCGCGAAAAACCATGTTACTCATTTCCATCGGTTTGTCTGTCTGTCGGTAAGTCCGTCCGCTAGCCCTTGGCCTGTCCAAAAGTTGGATTTTGATGTTACTTTTACACAAGGTTACTACTAACTCGGAAAAGATTAATAGTTTTTGAAATTCGTGAGGGTTCGGATGGGTATATCTCAATTTTTTACCTTGCTATACTCATGCGGTAATTCTATGCAGCCATATTTCACTCATCATAGATTCCCGTACATTTTCCCTTAAAACCGAATGGTGGAGAAATATTTCAACAGTGCGTGTCGTCGGCTGAAGATCGCAGTGGGCAGTCGCTATGGGCTGTAGAAGTCAATATCGTCATCCACGTGATGATCGCCGAGATTACTTATTTATTTATTTAACAAATTAGGGACATCAAATGGAGAAAATATCCAAAAATAGACATCCACAGTATAGTTAAACATACATAGTTGTAAGGATTGTTATATATTTTTATTTAAACTGGCAATGGCTGAAACATAGTGCGAGATCATTTATATAGATTAAGAAGAATAATGGACCTAAGTGGCTACCCTGAGGAACTTCCGATGAAGGAGTAACGACTCTGAATTTATACCCGTATATAAGAGGTGTTGCCAAACTGACATAAAATTTTTATGAATCGCTACTTTTATACTAAGCAGAATGAAACTCTGGTCACGGTTTTTGCAACACCTTTACCTTTTGTAGCTCATTATTATTCATCATACATGGAATAATTTACTTCTATAAAAGGGAATCAGTACACGTAACTCCGTATTTCATTCGAAATAGGGGATGAGGTGTGATTGTTACGTAAAGTGACACAGTTCCCTTATGCGGAAGTGCTTTGCATTTTGCATGACTTCAAGGTATAATTATTTGAGTGGGGTTGAAGAGACATCTCATTTAAAATTCTGGGAATTTGTGCAGCATGACGGAATGATTTGCAAAAATGAGTCATTCGTCGTTCCACTTAGAGTCACATTCATAGACGTTACTTGAAGATTGAATGACGTTTGGAATAATGATTTAAATCAAATTTTCGAAAGTACCAGGAACAAAACATGTGGAGTTTGACAACCAATCAATGTTGTGCTGATCGAATGTTCCAACAACAACAACAAATCCTAAATAACGTTAATATATACTAAGTGACATATAAATCCGAACACCCAGTTTAAATGGTTTTATTTTAATAAAATTTTGTATAAGTACTTAATGAAGCATAATAAGTAAATGATAAAAATTTCAAAATGATTGCACTGCTTTAAAGCCCTTTGACCTTTAATAATGTGTGGATGCACCCTGATGTGCTACGTATTCTCCAACGCGCCTAGGCATGCTTCTGATCAGGTGGTCAATGTCCTCCTGTGGTATCTCATTCCAGGCAACCACCAACTCCTCTCGAAGTGCTTCTAGAGTCTGAGGAGGACGTTGCAAATTGAGCAATCTCCTACCCATCATATCCCACACGTGCTCAATTGGGGATAAGTCGGGAGATCTTGGTGGCCATGGTAACAATGTGACATCATTATGTTGAAAGAAGTCTATTGTGAGTCTTGCAACATGTGGTCGGGCATTATCTTGTTGGAAAGTTGGATCTGCCAGGGTGTCAAGATAGGGTAAAAGATGGGGTTCTAGAACTTCGTGGATATAACGCTGCGCATTCATATTACCTCTGATGAAGATTAAAGGTGACCTGGAACCATAAGCTATAGCACCCCAAACCATAACTCCAACAGTGTGATGAACATGTCTTTCAACAAAAAACTGTGGATTCCTCCTTTCACCACGTCGCCTTCTAACCCTGGCACGACCATCGTGCATGCCTAAACAAAATCGAGACTCGTCACTAAAGACAATACTGTTCCATTCCTGATCCCAGAGTGACCGTTGTCTGCACCACTCAAGGCGATTACGTCGGTGTTCTCGAGTTAAAGGGAGGACCCAGTGTGGCCGGTATGAAAACAAGCCAAAACTTCTCATTCGTCGGTAAACACTCCGCATGCCAATAGGTCTTCCGTGTTCTGCAAACCATTCATTTGCAATGGACCTGGTAGTGGAGAAACGGTCCCTTAAGGCCAATAATCTTAGGCGGCGATCTTCACGGTCTGTTGTTCTACGGCGGCGTCCAGTGCCCCTTGCTCTTTGCGTACGGCCTTCTCGAAGCCATGCCTGACAACACCTAACCACAGTGTCTACACTTCTTTGCACTCTAACTGCAATTGCACGAAAAGAAAGTCCAGCTTCCCCAAGTCCCACTATACGGCCCCTATCAAACTCACTAAGTTGACGAAATCGTACAGGTCTCCGTACTCTAGGCATCGTAACCGATCGTAAAGGATGTCAAGAACCAAAATCCGCCAACGTTGATTCTTTACTGCGGCTGAAATATTCATTTTTAGAGCGTTAGTGAATTAAAAAAAAGCAGTATAAAAACCGGAATGTCCAACTGATAAGGCTGAAAATTTTTTCACTTGTTATTTACAGTAAGATAAATACATTCACCAACTTTTATTAAAATAAAACCATTTAAACTGGGTGTTCGGATTTATATGTCACTTAGTATATAAAGTTAACTCCACAATAAAGACGAATTAATTTTTGGAAAAATGATGCAGGCAAATTTTAACACCCTGTATATCACATAGACATCGTGTCTGAGCTTTGCGCCCATTGGAATATTTGATCTGCACAACATGCACTATTACTATACGAATGTTCATCAAAATTGGCCTCTGGTCAAATTATCCGTGTTTAGTGCCTGGTACTTTGCACGATTTTTGACATTTCAAAAAATTCCAACTTATTACTAACGCACATTTTGTTTACAGCGAAAATCGGTCTATTCTACCTGATCTTCTATGGCATGCTGGCGGCGCTGGTCGCTATCTGCATGTGGGTATTCTTCCAGACCCTGGATCCCAGAATTCCAAAATGGCAGTTGGACAGGTCCCTAATTGGAACCAACCCCGGTCTAGGATTTAGACCGATGCCCATGAATAATGAGGAGAGTACCCTCATCTGGTTCCAGGGCTCAAACAAGACCAATTATCAAATTTGGGTGGACCATATATTGCAGTTTTTGGACAGTGAGTATTTTGGCACGGCGGGAGTATTCATTCAGTATTTCTAGGGTTGGATTAATAAAGCAACTGTCCCTGTTTCCAGGACAGCTAGAGATACACCGTACTGATGAATTGTTTATAAGCACAAAACAGCAAGCACTGTTTGGCTGCGGAGACGGAAATCAAACGTGTAGAGAGGTTGAATTAAGGCAAGAAACGTGGAATTAAGGCAATAAACGTGGATTTCAATATTTAAACATACCCAGTTTCAAAATTAAACAAATCTAAAGACGTTATGGGATTATCCGGAAAAATCGATGACTTATTCGTTTTATAAATGTTTGCCGTGCACTTAAATGGGGATTTTCCTGCAACTTTAATAGAACCTCCAACTGATGCGCCTCATTGGTGACACTTGGATTACTTATACATTTTTTTACTATGTTCCACTGCTCCACTTGATACGAAACATTCTCGTAGTGTGGAAAATGTTTCCGGCCTTGGATGTCGCATATTAGGGTACCGTTGCTTTTAAACGCGAGATGCTAGGAAACTATTTCTTTGGCCTTCGCCCAAAACAAACACCTATTCACCATTTCTTCTTTAGTTATACCAAAAATTGTTTGAAAGTTTTAAAAAATCTCCTACAAGAACGAAAGTACAAAATGTACAAAAGTTAGTTAACGAAGTGTGGCGAAATTACAAATTACAAGCAAAATCCGACAAGGGACTAGATATTATTGTATCTAAGAGAATCGAAGAAGGATTGCAGGCGGCGACTAAGAATAAATCCAATCTACTAAATTTTTTTTCTAAGGTGAGTGACGAAATCAGTTTAGGTACCTATGAGTACTATAAATATTAGAAATCGCCAAAAAGTTTCTCTTTACTGATTAGAAAATATTATGGCCTGTCTCAAAGTATAGAGGTAATATTCATTACATTATAAATTTATTTCTTATGATTGATTCCGTCAATTGGTCACAAAGTACAGGATGTTAGTTTTATACATAAAAACTACAACCCTGTATTTTGTGACCGGAACGAATTGCTCGTTTAAACATATCAGATTTAAAGCCATAGGGTTTTGTATTTACCATATATATTGCCATACTTTGTATTTATGTAGGTCAATAAGAGAATCTTTAGCAGAAGCCATAGAAAGTTTTTATTTTTAGGCAACCTCTAAATCTGTAGAAAAAAACACAAATTATACAGTCAGCTTCAAATATTAAAAAAGAGGAAGAAGGTAAAATAAAACCATTCATTTGCAATGGACCTGGTAGTGGAGAAACGGTCCCTTAAGGCCAATAATCTTAGGCGGCGATCTTCACGGTCTGTTGTTCTAAGGCGGCGTCCAGTGCCCCTTGCTCTTTGCGTACGGCCTTCTCGAAGCCATGCCTGACAACACCTAACCACAGTGTCTACACTTCTTTGCACTCTAACTGAAATTGTCCGAAAAGAAAGTCCAGCTTCCCGAAGTCCCACTATACGGCCCCTATCAAACTCACTAAGTTGACGAAATCGTACAGGTCTCCGTACTCTAGGCATCGTAACCGATCGTAAAGGACGTCAAGAACCAAAATCCGCCAACGTTGATTCTTTACTGCGGCTGAAATATTCATTTTTAGAGCGTTAGTGAATTAAAAAAAAGCAGTATAAAAACCGGAATGTCCAAATGATAAGGCTGAAAATTTTTTCACTTGTTATTTACAGTACGATAAATACAATCACCAACTTTTATTAAAATAAAACCATTTAAACTGGGTGTTCGGATTTATATGTTACTTAATATATTTTGATGTTTAAAAAACCTACGATACAATAAAGTTTAATTTGCTTTACCAGGTATTTTTTTGAAGATGCGATTCTTATGTACTTCCAACATTTCCATTAACAACGTTTCCCAAGACTTATAGATTATAGCTTTATTGCCTGTCTTATTAATATGAAATTTCTTCATTATTTCGGTCTTCATATTACTTATTTTTTTTGCTAACTGCTTTGTTGTAAGTATCGCGTTAAAAATATCTGTATATTGTTGTACTAAATTTTTTAAAGCGGCCTCCTTTTCTATTTTAACTTGTGGAACTTGCGATTTATTAAGAACGATTTTATGTTCTTTTAATGTATGCACAAATAACAACTGCTTATCCATTTCTTCCTCATCATGGGATTCGTCACCTCCACTTGAATCAGCCATAATTTTCACTGCCTTTTTTATTTTTTACCGAAAAACCTACTAAGTTATGCCGAATGTAAGAAACTCGGAACTGAACTGAAATAAATGCGCGTATCGGCGCTCCTAAACATACTTGCAAGTCTAAACGCGTTGAACACATACATATATAAGCAATTGCATTTAAGATTCGGGAAATGCAGCATTTGCTTAAAAATATTATTCATTGCAAAATTTAGCGATCGCTTTTCCTTACAGCAATTGCTAGTTAAGCAATTGCTTTTGCCAAAAAATAATTGCTTAAAGTAATTGCTTAGTTTTTATTCATTAGGCTAATTGTTTTTAGCTACCAATGCTCCTGGAAGAAGTGCGTATAACAGAGTAGAGCGCAGAATGCCTCCTCTAAGTCGGGAACTGGCTGGTTTAATATCGCCTCATGACCATTTTGGGTCTCATTTGGATGAACGTGGCGTTAGAATTGATGAAATGTATTAGCTGAAGTATGGAGTTCAATGGAAATTGATGGCTATAATGTTAATGCAAAATATGTTGGGGCAGGTGAACAAGATCTTCCTGATTTTCCTGACATTAAATGGTATTCAGAACATGTGCGTGAGAGCCAGTACTTGCTTCAAATTGTAAAATGTAGAAATACAGAATGCTGTCGTCCAAGAAGTGGCCTATTTAGATTACTAGACAATAGGTTTCTTCCACCACCTATAAAAGTAAAACTAACAGTTGATGACTTGGTTTTAGATGAAGGAGGGCAATTTCTTAATATTCCATTAAATTTAGCTCTACGCTTAAGTGCTTCATTCAAAGATTTCCTGCAAATGCCGTACGATTATCTTTGTCCGACGGTGAAATTGAGGCTATCAAGTCGAACATGCAAAACGTGTGGTCTTTATCATGCTTCCGTCAAGTCACTGAATCGTCACATCGAAAATATCCATAAAAAAGTAAACACGCACACTGATAGGAAAGTTAGACCTGTAAGAGTCGCTGCTCGTCGTGCTGATGAACTGATGTGCATTATTTAAAATTTAGAGCACCACGATGTTGAATGCCTCGTTGAGAACGACGTAGACATTCCAAAATCCGATGAAAGCGAGCAAACTCGCAACACTGAGCAGCAATCGAAGCAATCCAATGTCATCGAAAACTTAGAATCAAGGATTCGGGTTTCATGGACTGAAGACTTAATTTGAATTTAATATATGTACCAAAAATTTAAAATAAGTTTGTTATGTTAGTAAGACATAATATTTTTGTCCTTTTGAATACCGTATCAGTAAAATATAATCTCTATCCTAAATCATGTTATCTTATTTTTCAAATTATAATTATAACCTTATAATTATAATATTAAAAAAAACAATACATTGATTGACAAATGTTTATGTAAGCATGGGGGGAGGGGGTAAGAGCTTTGCTCACTTTTGCTGACAAGGGGGTTGGGGGGGGGTAAATAATTGTAATAAATCTGCTTACGTAATACTTGAATGGCCCCTTATATCAATCTTCTTCTTTTGATTTGTTTTATCCAAATAAGCAATAAAATTTGAGGCATTCCGTTTAAAAAAATACATTTTTGATATGTAAGTCGATATTGGGACACCCTTTATAATTGCCAATATTTTAGAAATATGCCCTCAAATGTCGTGTATAACATGCCATAAATAGACTTTCCCAAAATTTATTTGTTTATGGGTAATATTCCATCCACACATGGATGGGCCACCCTGTATATAATTTTCTTAAGGTACCACCTGAGTGCTATGCTTTAGCGGGCGATACTATCAGAAAGAAAATATTAATAAATCGATGTTATAAATGTAGATCGCAAATAAACAGATTATTGATGTTCGCAAACGAATAAACTCGTATCAGATAATACCAGCATAAATCTATTATAAAACAAATTTCTTCAGTAAGCTTGAATGTCGTACGAGTATACAATTGTTTTGTGTCATGATTAATTGTGGAGGTTTTCTTAGATGGTCTTTTAAGTAATTGTGAATTTATACTAAGTGACATATAAATCCGAACACCCAGTTTAAATGGTTTTATTTTAATAAAAGTTGGTGAATGTATTTATCTTACTATAAATAACAAGTGAAAAAATTTTCAGCCTTATCAGTTGGACATTCCGGTTTTTATACTGTTTTTTTTTTAATTCTCTAAAAATGAATATTTCAGCCGCAGTAAAGAATCAACGTTGGCGGATTTTGGTTCTTGACATCCTTTACGATCGGTTACGATGCCTAGAGTACGGAGACCTGTACGATTTCGTCAACTTAGTGAGTTTGATAGGGGCCGTATAGTGGGACTTCGGGAAGCTGGACTTTCTTTTCGGGCAATTGTAGTTAGAGTGCAAAGAAGTGTAGACACTGTGGTTAGGTGTTGTCAGGCATGGCTTCGAGAAGGCCGTACGCAAAGAGCAAGGGGCACTGGACGCCGCCGTAGAACAACAGACCGTGAAGATCGCCGCCTAAGATTATTGGCCTTAAGGGACCGTTTCTCCACTACCAGGTCCATTGCAAATGAATGGTTTGCAGAACACGGAAGACCTATTGGCATGCGAAGTGTTTACCGACGAATGAGAAGTTTTGGCTTGTTTTCATACCGGCCACACTGGGTCCTCCCTTTAACTCGAGAACACCGACGTTATCGCCTTGAGTGGTGCAGACAACGATCACTCTGGGATCAGGAATGGAACAGTATTGTCTTTAGTGACGAGTCTCGATTTTGTTTAGGCATGCACGATGGTCGTGCCAGGGTTCGAAGGCGACGTGGTGAAAGGAGGAATCCACAGTTTTTTGTGGAAAGACACGTTCATCACACTGTTAGAGTTATGGTTTGGGGTGCTATAGCTTATGGTTCCAGGTCACCTTTAATCTTCATCACGCAGCGTTATATCCACGAAGTTCTAGAACCCCATCTTTTACCCTATCTTGACACCCTGGCAAATCCAACTTTCCAACAAGATAATGCCCGACCACATGTTGCAAGAGTCACAATAGACTTCTTTCAACATAATGATGTCACATTGTTACCATGGCCACCAAGATCTCCCGACTTATCCCCAATTGAGCACGTATGGGATATGATGGGTAGGAGATTGCTCAATTTGCAACGTCCTCCTCAGACTCTAGAAGCACTTCGAGAGGAGTTGGTGGTTGCCTGGAATGAGATACCACAGGAGGACATTGACCACCTGATCAGAAGCATGCCTAGGCGCGTTGGAGAATGCGTAGCACATCAGGGTGCATCCATACATTATTAAAAGTCAAAGGGCTTTAAAGCAGTGCAATCATTTTGAAATGTTTATCATTTACTTATTATGCTTCATTAAGTACTTATACAAAATTTTATTAAAATAAAACCATTTAATCTGGGTGTTCGGATTTATATGTCACTTAGTATATGTATTTTTTGACTCTCTACTGTTTTTTTTTTCAGAGTATTACGTCCCGAGTAAGATAGCCAAAGGTAATGGTCAGATAAAGACCTGTTCCCATTCGGACCCACCGAAAGCAGACGAAGTATGCGAAGTCGACGTCAGAGACTGGGGCGATTGCAACAAAGACAGGCACTTCAACTACCACATGAACGCCCCCTGTATATTCTTGAAGCTGAACAAAATCTACGGCTGGACGCCGGAATACTATGAGGATCCCAACGATCTTCCTAAAGAAATGCCCAAGAGGCTTAAGGAGCATATCAGGAATATCACTTCGATGGAGGTTAGTTGTTTTGTCGAAAAAAAGTCACTAAATATTTAATGATACAGGGTTTGTCCGGAAAGTAATAGGACTGAGTCGATTTAAAAAAAATTATTAAGCCAATCGTTACAATTCTTTAAAAACTTCACTGATCAACAGCCAAAAAATATCCTAAATAAAATCAACAAAATATTACTATTTTTAATGTGCTAAAACCGGAATGAAACTTATTTTTTCAATGTTAGTTCAAGTTTTAGAGATACGGTAATTATATGTGTATGGTTTATCTGAAGTCACTTGAAATAGCATAAAAACCTTTGGTCGGCGCGTTCTTTGTAATTTCATGACGTATCATAAGCGTGCGGTTATTTATTTAGAACGATAATAATAATGTTTTTATATCACAATAAATGGATTTTACTATCTTCTTATTTTTTTGATTTGGGATAAAACATACTTATATTGGGAGTTTAATTTATGTTGACTGAAAGTTAAGAAATGGAAAAATTACAGAATTCCAACGTTTGACATAGGCAAATATTTACATAGCAGGTAGGTATATAAAAAGGTATATAAAGACTTACATTATAGGTATTTATATATCATCCTCGCCTTCGGAGCTGTCGCTAGAGTCATCTTGTAGAGGAATTACAACGGGATTTACAGGAGGCAAAACACAATATTCATTTTCTTTTTCAATAATATGCCTAGAACACTGATTCCATAGGTCTGTGGCAGCAATATGAGATACTGCATCTCTTATTGTGGCCAATAGCGATTCACTTAATTGAGGGGTCTGATTATGTTTTCTTACTTTTTTTTTAAAGCAGCCCAGACCAACTCAATCGGGTTAAAAATGCAGTAATAGGGAGGCAGACGTAATACTTCATGGCCATTTTGCTGAAGCAGATTGTCAACAACATACTCTTTTCCAAATTTTTGTCTTTTAATAAGATCCAATAATATGGCTTTGGTTGATTTTTGTGGTATTTCCATTCCCTTATCCTTCATAAAATCAATAATGTCTTGTTTTTTTGTGCCTGTATTCGGAATTTTGTTTTTCTGTCGGGAATGGTATGGCGTATTGTCCATAATAATCACTGAATTTGGGGAAATGTTTGGTATTAACTGCTGCTCTATCCACTTTTCAAATGAGTCGGAGGTCATGTCCTCATGATAGTCGGCACATGATTCTTTGATATTTTTGGCAGCTAACAGCAAGGCATTAGGTATAAATCCATTTTCACTACCAGCATGGAGAATAATGATTCCTTTTCCACGGTTGCATGGTGCATTTAAAATGCACTTGTTGCTGTCGTCAACCCAGCCGTACTGCACAACATCATGGGTATCATACCACGTTTCATCCAGGTAAATCAGATTTCTTTTCTGCTCTCTATAGATTTTAACTTTGTGCAAAAATTCTTGACGCAATTCAACGATTCGAGACGACTCCATAATCACCATTCTTTTATCTAATTTTTTGTATTGAAAACCACACAGTTTTACAATACAGTGCAGTGAGTCTAAGCATTTGTAATTATAAAAATCTTCAGGATAATCTTTTAATTTATCCCGTATCATTTCCAACGTGGGCACCAAATTTTCTTTATAAAATCCGTATATTATACGACGAATATCTTCCTGAAAACCCACGTCTATTCTTTTTAATTTTTGCCCTATGCGCTTTCTGTGGAAGGAATGGTTGACTATGGTTGATCTCCCCTTTTTATAACCCGATAAATTGTAGACCGACTAATTTTTGTCAGGATACAAATTCTGTTTAAAATTTGATTTTGCGAGGAATCTGGATTTTCGTTTTTCAGACAATCATACATATTTAGGATTACTCTTTGGGTCTGTTCCTCTAAATCTTGATGAAAGAATTCTGCCTGCACAGGTTCATCAACCATCTCCTCGTGGCTTGGAGCATTTTCCCAAGGTCTCCAAAGAGCCATATTTAACACAACAATTAAATCAACAAGTTAACTGAGTATTCAAAGGTCAAAAACACACAAACTAATAAAATCTATGAAAAAACACGGACAGACTAAAGAAAACACGTTTATTCACCGCTACACGGCACTGGCTAAACTGTTTCAATTTTCAGTAGCCACCTGCACTTGTTCGGAGCTTCGAAATACACGCTTTCTCATTGGCTATGTCCACGCATAGGCGTGCTTTACTCCACGTGGACCGGTGAAACTGCCTTTGATCTTATACGGGGGATATTTGCTGCGAAATTTGGCGATTTTTGCAGCAACAGAGCGTGTTAAATATAGATATATAAAACGCACCCGGTATTTCACAGTGTTTCAAGTGACTTCAGATAAAGTATACAGTCATGACGGAAGAAAATGAGTCCTATTACTTTCCGGACAAACCCTGTAAGTGCCATTTGAAAAAGTGATTTTTAAAAAACTTCTCCATTGATTTACAGAGACGCACAGTATGGATAACTTGTGAAGGAGAGAACCCAGCGGATATCGAATATCTGGGACCAATAACGTATTACCCATCGCAAGGCTTCCCAGGGTACTACTATCCCTATTTGAATAGAGAAGGCTACTTGAGCCCTCTAGTTGCTGTCAAATTCGAGAGACCAGTTCGTAAGTATTTTTCACGAGTCACCTCAGAAATCGCCACTGTTTACCTTATCTCCGAGGACGGATTCAATAATAGTGATTTATTAGTCCTGTTTGATCACAGATGCGATGTACGAGGGATGTTTCAAAAATAGGGTGTTTCCACATTTTTTAGGTACAAGGAATTTTTTATTTGGAAAAAACGAGTTCACCATTGGAAACGTTGACCTTTATACTGAAATGAAATTACAGCAGACGCTCGATAAATCCAAGTGTGGTTCACATTATCGAAATGTTTACATTAGCGAACGTGATTTATATAATATTTGATTGATTAAAAGAAACGTTTAATACATACTATTTATAACAAAATAAACAAATATTCTAACAGCGATAAGTATTTTTTTAATTAGAAGAAAAATAATTAACAATTTTTGTCTGCGTAAATTTGCGCTTAGCATTGTTTGTTTGCCTGCTCCCGTAATTTACGAAGCTCTAAAATATCCGTGTATGAAACTTCTTTTCTTTCAGCCCAATCTAAAGCTTGGTTAAAAACTTGTATAGCTTGCGCATCAGTCACTACACTTCTGACTTCAATGGTATCGTTCTCATCATCCTCACTGTCCATATCCTCCTCCTTATCAGCATCATTCGTCTGCTTATCTTCGTTCCATAAATTAATATCGGCAGGAGTACAAACAATTTTGGGATTCACTGTTTTCAATAAATCAACAACATCCAATGACACACTAATAACATTATCATTATTGGATCGCAAACGTTCTCTAATTACGCTTAAGGGGACATCGTCTTCTTCATCATCTTCATTATTGGTACAAAAGAGATTGTTCCAACATTTTTGAATAGTTTGCTGGTTAAGTTCATTCCAGGCCATATCTAAATCTAAAACAGCTTCTCGTAATGTTACTTTTTTTAAAGCCTCAGATAAGTTTTCAGGATTCTTTGATAAGACAGACGAAAGTAGAAACTTCCTATAGTATAGTTTGGTGAGTCTTATTATATTCTGGTCTATCGGTTGAATTAACGGTGTTACGTTGGGCGGCATGTACATGACGAAAATTGACCCATCCCTGCTCCTCAGTTGTTGCTCGGGAGGATGACTTGGTGCATTATCCAATAGTAACAACGCTTTTATTGGAAGCTTCTGTTGTTTTAGGAAACCTTTTACCTACAAATTGAAAACACATCTTCAAATTATGAATAGAGCATTTGTGATAATTGATTGTCATACCTGAGGGACAAAGCACCTGTGGAACCGTTTCAGGAATATACTGCTAGTCATCCAAGCGGTTTTTGAACAGTCATAATTAACAGGGATATTAACATTTTTAAATGAGCGCGGATTTTTTGCTTTCCCAATTACCAGTGGCTTTATTTTGTGTGAACCATTAGCATTAGTGCAGGCTAGAAACGTTATTCGTTGTTTGTCCGGCTTTCTTCCCGGGGCAGGTTTTTCAAATGATGCAGCATAGGTTTTCTCTGGTAACATTTTCCAATAAAGGCCACCTTCATCTGCGTTGTAAATTTGTTCCATTCTTAAATCTAGCTCGGTAATTGTATTCATCAATTTTTCTTTGAATGGTTGCACTAATTGTGGTTGTGCTGATAATTTTTCACCAGATATAGACAGCAGTCGAATTCCATATCTTGTTTTGAATCGATGTAGCCAGCCAGCACTAGCTACGTAATTTTCAGTTTCTTTCAGTTTTTCATTTAACAGTCTCGCTCTCTGTTTAAGCACTTCGCCACTAACTGGGACATGATTTTCCCGTTGTTTTAAAAACCACTTATACAGGGAATTTTCCATTTTAGGTGCCTTCGCATTTTTTAAAGTTTTTCTTTTCCCCGGACCTCCAAATGTATTGCACGTTCTTTGTAAAATTTGAGTTTTCATACACTTAATTTTACAGATTGTTGCTTTCGATACTCCATATTTTTTTGCTAACTGTGTCACTCCCGCACCTAGTGCAACTTCGTCTATGATTTTCAATTTCTCACTCAACTTTAAACACTTTCTTTTATAGGATGTGGATGCCATAGTCGTAAAATATATTAACCCGTGCAATGTATTCACTTAAGTTCAAAAATGAAATACATACGTACGTATAAACGTATCCTAAACGATCATACGACTGACCGAGTTTGTCGTATTTTATCGCAGAGGTGAATCCCCTACACTCTACATCATAAATCGGGGACTCCCCGATGCCCGACACAAATCATCGAGGCTTCAGCATTTTACCGTCGCGCTGTTTCCGAGCGCCGAGAGTTGTTTACGTTATCGAGCGTACACATTGTTTACGTTATCGCGCGTTCCGTTTGATCCTATAGAACGAAGTTTGTGTTTACATTAGCGCAAGTTTTCATTATCCCGTGTTTACGTTATCGAGCGTCTGCTGTATTATCGTTGATTATATTTATTATTTTGATAGCTACTACGTGATATGATGTTTGTAAATTAAGAGATGAGACTGGTTCTTTTATTTTAAATTACAAACAATTACGATACTGATCTAATATTTTTGTCCACAGCCGGCATCGTGATAAACGTGGAGTGCAGGGCGTGGGCCAGAAATATAAAATTCAGCAGAACTGAAAGAACAGGATCGGTACATTTTGAATTGCTTATCGACTAAACCGAAGGATTGTCTATTGTCTACGATTTTTACCAACAAACAAAGTTGGCATGGTCAGAATAAAAGTGTAATAAAGACTGATATGGCGGTTGAAATGAATCTCGTATTTCCATCAGCTATTGGGATGCAGTTTTTAAGAATCTGGTGCGTACAAGAAATACTGTAGCTCAGTAGACTCCAAAAATAACACATGCCCACAGAATAGAAAAAGCTGTGTTTGCTGGCGTTCCCATCTATTTTTCAAGTCAAATATCAAAGTAATTTAGGCGTTAAGATCACAAATCTTAATTATACAATAAAACCGCATGTACTGACCGATCTTTACTGTAGTAAATGTTTCTATGTTTCTATGACAATGATATGTATTTGGTTTATTTATATAAAGCGATCAAATACGAGTATATGTAATTGTACTGAAAAAGATCACCTTTTGGTTAGAGTACGTTTGCTATAGTAAAAAAGGTCTGTCAATACATGTGGTTTTATTATCGACATGTAAAGCATGGGATGAGTTTCAGATGTTATACAAATTTTGGGATTATTGGTGGATATGCGTCTCATCAGAGATCCACCAAAATCACAAAAAATTGTGATTCTGATGTCAAAATTACTTTCATATGTACACATGGACCCCCAAAATGGAAATATAGTGAGACCCCAGTACTCGCCCCTTTTTATATTTCTGAGGACCTGTGTTTATGCATTTTCTCTAACATTTTTCCATCGACTCACAATTTTGAATTCAACTTCGTTCAGCAAGATAAATATATGGCAAAAAACATAGTCGGACCCTAAACAGATAGAGTCTTTTTTATTATACAATAAAAGTAGTATTAAACAGCATCTATTTACACTTTCAGTAAATTAATTCTAAAAATTATGTGTTTGTCATAGTGGAAGTAATTTTTTGTTATGTTCCAAAACATCACTAGAAAATCCCACAGAGTCTATATAATTGAAGTGGTTCTTATAAGCTGGTCGATAGAATAACCTAAATCGTTGATTAACGTACTCTACTTGAAGACAGTAGAGGGTTTTTAGTACTCTTATTTTGCTCGTTCCTGATGATCGATCCTCTTTATTTTGATTTTGCACAGTAGCAGAACAACCTTTCCTTATCCGTTATCGAAATAAGAAAACTTTGTTAGTTCCAGAGAATACAGAGGGCTTCTTGTGTAAGCTTATTTTTCCCTTATTCAGCGCTGATTACTGCTACACTTGCATATAATTTATAACACATTTATAACTATGTCGACTGCACTATTATTCCATCTTTATTCCGCGTTTGCTGTCCACTGGCTCGACTGTGACTGCCACGTTCCGCCATCTGGTCGGATATTTATTCCCCCATCGACGAGTCGACAAACATTCCAGCGTTTTCGGGAACTTACAAAAAAATAGTCTAGATGTCAGCAGGTGCTTCCAGGCGGAAGAGTTTTAGATCAGAGATAAATATGAATTCAAGAAATAGTCAGTGTTCTAAAAAAATTATATTATCCTGATTTTAGTTAGTATTTTCAAATTATCACGGTTCACTCTAGTGCTCATACAAACTCTTGTTTCGTCGACATTCGTTATTTGCTGTCGCTATCAAAAATAACCTAAAGGAAGGAAACTTCGTTTTTTTTTTGTTGTACTAAGAACTCTCTAGTCAACCATATACTATATCCCTGAAATATACTATATCCGCGAGTGAAACAGTAGCATAACTACTTTGAAAAGAATATTGTTTAGTTATACTACTGTCACATAGATGGCGCTGCGATCATCAATCGTTAATTGGCGCCAAAAAGGAACACAAGATCCTAATGCAATCTAGGAGACAGTAGCTGAACTAAATGCTCTTCTTTCAGTAGTAAATTTGTAAGTTCATTTTTGTGTTCTGCTGCTGTATAATAGATGGCGCTAATATCTTAAGATCCCTTTTTCGATGCGTTAACGCCAAAACACCTCCTGGCCTTTTAAAGGGGTACCTGCCGTAAATATTTTTGCTGACTACAAAAATAGTCTGATCATGTCATCGGTCTTCTAGAATGTATTCGAAATGAGAATCCTTGGATACGGGAATCGCAAAATTTAATTATTCGCAGAATTATTCTCAAATAAAAAATGTGTGGTGCATCACAAATGTGAGTCACAAAAGTGTTAACTAGGCTAGTAAATAAATGTATAATTATGTATAGTATCAATTTTAAAGCCAGAATACTACCATATCATTTACTTGTATGATATTTTTCTTATCACAAATTTTTTTGAAAGTATACCGAAAAAAGAGAAATTATCAAATAAATCATTATGCAAGTAGTAACATGTGTGTGTTATTATTACTGTAGTCAAAATATGGGATGAAATCGTGAAGTATTAAATTGCAACAGCCTGACTTTGATTAGTGACATAAATGACCTTTCATAGTGTTTATACCTTTTTTCGGTATATTTTTTTACTTTGTTATACAGGAGAAGAGCTATTTTTGTACATTTATACAGACAAGCGTTTAGATAAGTAAAAAAATGTAGCAACTGACCATGTACAAGTAAGTTAAATGAATATTATTTGTGCAGTGTTTTGTTATATATTTATTTGAAATATTTTATTGTGCTCTGATTTTAAAATCTCGAACAAACGCGAACTCTCAGTTAATTCGAGTACGTGATTCTTAATGTTTAGATATACGAGTAATATTGAACTGAATCCAGCAATAATGTTAGTTCATCTTCCCAAATTCTTTTCGGTCAATGATACTGAATTAATCAAGAATTAACTTGTGTTCGGCGTTTTAGTGTACATAATGTATTTGTAATTTGTGACAGGTGAAGTATTTTTTGTTGTCAGCATTTATTTATAATTTGTGTTAAGCATTATGTAAGTTTTCAAATAAATATTGTTAAATACGTTCAGAACTTTTTATTCTATTCCTTGTATGGTACGAAAACGTACAGTGCTTTTGAACCCGCCTCCTATATTTGGAGAGGGGCAAGTTAGCCATTTGAAATTTAGGTGGGAGGTGCCGGTTGAAACGAGCTATTCTTGGACTACAAATGTTATGATTTTTGAAGTTTTGTTAGTTTTACATGTAGCCGCTCGACATTGCTACAGAAACGGTTACCTTTCTCAAAGAAATTGAATGCATTGGTATGATTTTTTTGATGAAAATGTAGCTAAATGATGTCTAAACAAGCTCGACATCTTGTACCTAACCTAAAATTTAGGCTTAAGAAGATTTTGAACAGAAATCCCTCAAGCTTTTATCTTTTAAACTAATTTTTCTGGATATTCTTTTTTTACTAAGTTGTGGCTCTGAAAAGTACCGATTGAAAAAGAAGGTTTTTAATGACCCCGTGATTGCTCGAAATGCTGACCATCATCTTCTATGCATTCCAGAAGACTCTCACGGGTATGCAAAACTGTAGTTTTAATTTCGGCTCTCGATATGCTACGGAATCTTCTCTGGTTGTAGGTTGAGTCTGAAACACGATTTTTTTTAATTGTCCACATGCATATCAACACCTTCAAGGTTCGTAAAATGCATTTGGTAAGCACAACAATTGCTGAAAGTTACGCGAAACCTTTGACAACTATTGACAATTTGAGAATTATTTATGTCTTGATTAGGTATTTGTTTTGTTGGTATACCATGGCCTGCTTCTATTCATTTTCTTTTCCGTATACAGGGTGTCCCAGAAGTCGACGTCAAGCCGAAACCGGGTGATAGGCAAAGTCATAACAGCTATCAGAAAAATATTTAAAAAAATTGTATGTATGTGTTTTGAAAATTATAGGTCTTTGAAAAAAATATAGAAATTTCACACCCTACGGCAGTCTGTCAACTCCTGTTACTACAAATATTAACTTTTTTTGGATTTTATTTTTACAATGTAATGATGAATAATGCATCTTCAAACTGGTGTCTCAACCTTACTGCCAACTTTTCTCGTTTAGGAAAAATTGCCACTTATTTCCCAACCAAGTATTCCAAAGTAAAACTTTGCTCAACTTTAACTGGCTGTAGTGGAAAAAAATGTACTACGAGAGTTTGGCAAGTAACCTTAAAAGTTGGCGCATTTAATAAGGATTCCAAAATGGTATAACACTTAGAAGATTACTCGTTAACTTATGCACAATTTTTATTTGAAGAAAAACGGATGAAAATTTTTCAAAATTTCCTAATTAAACAGCGATTATGAAAACGCACAAGGACCCTTAAGGATAACTGTTTGCACAACAGTGGGCGTCAAAATGCTGCTGATGATGATTTACCTTTACAGCAAATGCTCAAACTGTTTTCCTTCAGCCGCAATACACGCTCGACATCTTCTTAAAAAAGATCGGGTTTTAAACGAGCGAATCCACGGTTATTAACCAACTCAACTGCTTCCAATAGTCTTTGCCGTAGCTCAGCTACATTTTGAATCGGCTTGAAATACACTTTTTCTTTTATAGTTCCCCAGTAAAAAAAATCTAACGGATTCAAATCTGGTGACCGGGCTGGCCACGGTATTGTACCAGACCGCCCTATCCATCTGCCTGGAAAGTTTTGATCGAGATACTCTCTCACTGAGAGTGCATAGTGCGCTGGGCAGCCATCATGCTGAAACCACATGTCCCTGTAAATACTCAGTGGCACGTCCTCCAATAAATTTTCTAAATGATTTTGCAAAAAACCTAAATAAACCTCAGCAGTCAAAGTCATTGGGAACTCAAACGGACCGATTATTTTACCATTTAAAATTCCTGTCCAATGGTTTATCTTGAAGCGATATTGAGATTTATCTTCTCTCATCAAATGTGGGTTTGCTACGTGCCACTCGTGTAAGTTATGCAGGTTCATGTACACATCTTTCTTAAATGTGGTCTCATCTGACCATAAAATTTTTTCAAAGAACCGTGGATCTTCCCTTTGTCTTTCTAACATTGTGCGACAAAAAGCTACTCGGGGCTCATAATCCTGGGGCAGAAGAGCTTGAACACGTGGTATGGATGGAGCACGTTTTTTTGCAAGATTCTATGGGCTGTACTTTTGGGCACACCTGCTTTTAGTTCTATTGCACGCACTGAAGTACTCGGGTCTTCTTCGACAGCTCCTAGCACCACGTCTTCGTAAGGAAGGAAAGATCTTCCCTCACCGTGTGATTGGTTTGGTAGTTGGCCCTCTGAGAACAGTAAGCGGTGCACATTTGTGAACACTCGATGATCTGGATGACGAGCTGCATTCGGGTACCTCTCACAGTAAAGTCTTGCTGCAGCACTAGCATTGCATCTGCATTCCCCATAAATGAGGTGCATGTTAGCATATTCTTGTACGGTGTACACGGACATAGCGGCACTGCACAATCACACTATAAAAGATAGTCTAAGGAAAGCAAATGTTGTTTTGAAGAGCAATTAAACAGTCCAAATCCAAATCACAAGCGATCAACAGTCCAGTTCACGAATCCAAAATTAGTAACAGTACGAAATCAACAAGCACGAACATGTAAAGATGCGCAGTAAACGAAGGAGTACTGATCGGTATCAAAGTGTGCAATAGCAAGTAAGTGATGTTTTTCATCCATACCACGTACAGCGTGTTCAACCTCTCCTGCCCCGAAATTATGAGCCCCGAGTTGCTTTTTGTCGCACAATGTTAGAAAGATACAGGAAAGATCCACAGTTCTTTGAAAAAATTTTATGGTCGGATGAGACCACATTTAAGAAAGATGGGTACATGAACCTGCATAACTTACACGAGTGGCACGTAGCAAACCCACATTTGATGAGAGAAGATAAATCTCAATATCGCTTCAAGATAAACCATTGGACAGGAATGGTAAAATAATCGGTGCGTTTGAGTTCCCAGAGACCTTGACTGCTGAAGTTTATTTGGATTTTTTGAAAAATCATGTACAAAATTTATTAGTGGACGTGCCATTGAGTATTTACAGGGACATGTGGTTTCAGCATGATGGCTGCCCAGCGCGCTATGCACTCTCAGTGAGAGAGTATCTCGATCAAAACTTTCCAGGCAGATGGATAAGGCGGTCTGGTACAATACCGTGGCCAGCCCGATCACCTGATTTGAATCCTTTAGATTTTTTTACTGGGGAACTGTAAAAGAAAAAGTATATTTCAAGCCGATTCAAAATGTAGCTGAGCTACGGCAAAGACTATTGGAAGCAGCTGAGTTTGTTAATAACCGTGGATTCGCTCGTTTAATAACCCGATCTTTTTTAATGTCGAGCGTGTATTGCGGCTGAAGGAAAACAGTTTGAACATTTGCTGTAAAGGTAAATCATCATCAGCAGCATTTTGACGCCCACTGTTGTGCAAACAGTTATCCTTAAGGGTCCTTGTGCGTTTTCATAATCGCTGTTTAATTATGAAATTTTGAAAAATTTTCATCAGTTTTATTTCAAATAAAAATTGTGCATAAGTTAACGAGTAATCTTCTAAGTGTTATACCATTTTGGAATCGTTATTAAATGCGACAACTTTTAAGGTTACTTGCCAAACTCTCGTAGTACATTTTTTCCAGTACAGCCAGTTAAAGTTGAGCAAAGTTTTACTTTGGAATACTTGGTTGGGAAATAAGTGGCAATTTTTCCTGACCATCTTTTACCCTATCTTGACACCCTGGCAGATCCAACTTTCCAACAAGATAATGCCCGACCACATGTTGCAAGAGTCACAATAGACTTCTTTCAACATAATGATGTCACATTGTTACCATGGCCACCAAGATCTCCCGACTTATCCCCAATTGAGCACGTGTGGGATATGATGGGTAGGAGATTGCTCAATTTGCAACGTCCTCCTCAGACTCTAGAAGCACTTCGAGAGGAGTTGGTGGTTGCCTGGAATGAGATACCACAGGAGGACATTGACTACCTGATCAGAAGCATGCGTAGGCGCGTTGGAGAATGCGTAGCACATCAGGGTGCATCCACACATTATTAAAGGTCAAAGGGCTTTAAAGCAGTGCAATCATTTTGAAATTTTTATCATTTACTTATTATGCTTCATTAAGTACTTATACAAAATTTTATTAAAATAAAACCATTTAAACTGGGTGTTCGGATTTATATGTCACTTAGTATAATATTGTCATCAAAGCCTGAATATCTAAGAGCTAAGTTAAGATTTAATTACGAAGTGCATGACAGGGCTGTTAGGAATCGTTATAGTATCAGAACCACCCCACACACTTCTGCATTATTCCAACGAGGATTTACATATAATGCAGCACTATTTTATAATCAGTTGGACAACAGTATTAAATTGATGTCTTTGGAAAGTTTTCGTAAACATACTAAAAGCTTGTTGCTCGCTATTGATTAAATAAGCATTTCTGCTACAGATATAGATTGTGTCTAGTTGTATTTTATACTTAGGTATATATGTGTTCTTTTTTTCATTGTTCTTATATTTTTTCCATGTTTTGAACATCAGATGTAACCGACATAAACAGTCAAGTGTAAGAGTAGCCTTGGCTAAACTTCGCTGTTTATGTCCCTCCGGGTTATCCAATAAAGACGTTATTATTATTATTATTATTATTATACTTTTGGCGCTACCCTCGTATGTCATTACAGCTGATCCATCATCAAGCCAAATCCAGTATTGATCCGGGAACACAGAGCCTCGCCTCTCCAAGACCGCATCGCCTCCCGACCGCCAACCTTCTCCCGCTACCGCGAGATGTCCGCCGCCTCCAATTTCCCGATCATTTTCCACCCGTGCTTTCCGGTGCGCGCGTCCCCTCCGCCGTCAGATCGAAGCGCGACCCGGAGTGCGCGCGTCGTCGCGCATGCCCCACGTATAGCCCCTAACCGGCGCGCTCTGCCACCCCCAGCTGCACTACTGCCCTTCTTACGGTAAGGGCGTCTCGACACTCTGCTGCTGCTACCGACCAGCCGTCAAAATGGCCGACAAGAAGAGTAACGTCAATGAATTCTACACCAGACCGCCTCCGATGAGCGGGTGGGACAGCTTCAAGCAGTTCTTATGGAATTCGGAAACCGGACAGTTCCTCGGGAGGACCGGGGCTAGCTGGGGTAAGTCCATGTTACACCCCTTACTCAATATCACACCATCACAATCTTAGATCTACTCGTTTTTTGATATCTGTAGCATTATTACGCCTCTCTTCATCATATCTTCGTCATTATCATCGAATATCTGTCTTCAAACGTTGGTCCACAACGACCATTACTCCTTAAATCCAATAGTTGCTTCAAGCTATTCTTCTAGAAGCTTAAAACGACCTTCTTAGACGTACTTTCCAACCTAGAAATACCCACTCACAGCGATGACCTTTTGCCATTTTGGATTACGTAACCTGGGGTCTGTCCATGAGCTTACTGTCAACCCCTGCTTCTAATTTATTCAAGAATTGCAGTAGTTTCTTTGTCATTGCTCTCACTTTGGACTATTCTAGAAGTAAAGTGTTATCGGAAAATGGATTTTCTTAATGTGCAATGGCGCTTAGATTCTCTAGTCCACGCCCGTTTTAGGTCACAAATTAAAAAAGCTTCTGGAAGATTTGGGGTAGTTTGAACGATTTTTTCTAGTATAGATAGTGTATGTTAGATCGTCGATACAATGACTTTTATAATATATTTAGATTGCGAGCTTTTGGTAAGGCTACACGATTCAAGGTCATATGAACTGCATTCCATCTTCTTTAGAAAAATCTTTACTGCACTTTAAACATTTCTGTGGTGAAAAATGCCAGATATTTTAACTTTCAAACACTAAAATTGGATAATGGTATCAAATGTATAACCTCGTATTTTTCATTTTATACTATTTTAGGTTTATATGAAATGCTCATCATTGTATCTCCAGTTATTTCACATAAAACAAGGTTTCAATTAATCAGAAAGGCAGAATCATAATCAAAAATTTCATAACTTGAAAGCAAGAAATCTGAAAACGAATTTCTAACTATCAGGGCTGTCGAATGCATCTTTGCTAACAAATTAATGATACCGAAGGCTTATCTATCGAGATCTTAATGCAGGGTGGCGCATCGAAAACGAAACAGACGCATTTACTGGCAGCTCAGTTTTTTTTGGCAAAAAATCACGTTAACACGTGCAGCCCCCTGGGCGGGGGTGACACCAACCCTAAAATCTTAAATGGAAAGGGGGGTCGAGTGATACCTTATTTTAAAGGTCTTTCAATTCCTTTAAGATTTTGGGGGTGGTGTCACCCCCGCTGAGGAGGATGCACGTGCACGTGCGTCTGTTTCGTTTTCGATGCACCACTCTGTATATAGGAGATATATAAGCATATGAGCCATTTCAAACTTATGATCTTACAAAATAAAGTATTATTGTAAGTATGTATTTTCATACTCAAAAAAATTCGTTTCTTTTGTAATAGTGGGTAGGTTTAATGAAACTTAATCGTAAATTAATGAGAAACGATATTCGATTCTCCCGCTTTATGTTCTCCTGTATTGCTTGTCTTTCTATGTACAATATTTTTTAAGAATTCCATGTCTAGTGTTACGGTCATATCGTACTTAAAAATTGAATGTAACTGTAAGTGATAAGACATGTTTGAATTGAGTATGCCTTAATATAGATTTTCGAAAATCTCCACCGCTCACAGAAAGGCAAAACGCAAGTTATGGCTCTTGTTACTAATGCGACGAAAATCTCACGCAGCTACTTGAAATTCTTCAAATCCGTCGGCTTCATACTTCTGAATAACCATAACAAAATTGGAGTCGATCGATCAAGTTGTTTTTGAGAATTTCTAAAAACACCTGACTTCCGGTCATCTCTACTAGTTTACTGAACAATATATAGGTGTCGTTCAAAGGGCATTTTATAGCAAAATACACGAGTTTACCTTGCCGATATGAATCACAAACCCCTCTGAAATATAGTTGTTATTTTTATGCGAAAAACGAAGGAGATAAACAAATCGAAGAATTTCAAGTATCTGCGCGAAACTGTCGACACATTACCAACAAGTGCTAAAACATCTTGCCTCGGTTTTTGACCATAACTTCGCATTAAATAACAATTCGTTTCGTTTTTGTCCACTTTGGAAACGAATGCAAAAGTAACCTCACTTTCACCGCGGTATCTTTGCTGTTTAGGGTGCGATTTTCGCGAAAATTTAACAGGTGTCACATGAAGGTTAGTTCTTTCGACAAATAATGATAATAATAATAATGTCTTTATTAATCCATCCACACTGCGAGGCGAAGTTTAGCCAGCTGGCTACTCTACCACCTCACAGCGCAGGAACACATACAAAAGGAAAGATATAACAATTAATAGCAATCGACTAAATAATATAATACAATAATTAAGGCTTAAATAGATTAATCTTAATATGTTGTACATCTATTCTACACAGCCCGCTCTAACAAAAAAAAAACAATAAAGACAAAAAAATATATATATTATTTACAGGGTGTTTCAGTTTATTGTTGCATAACTTTGAGATTCGATAGAACTTTTAAAATTAATGCATAAAGTCTATATAAACATAGGTCGAAAAATGCGTGGCTTCCGAAATACAGGGTGTTCAAATTTACTTTTTAAAATAGTTTTTTTTAAATATTTCGAACAATATTTGATGTTTAACAGTGAAAATTGGTATACAAGGGTTTTTTGGTTCGACAAAACTAACCATGGGCATAGTTTTACTGTAGCCGCTAGAGGGCGCTCTCTACTGTACCTGTAGTGTATTAAAATGACCGAAAAATTTTTCTTAGTGCAATTTTTTGCTTTTTGAATAAAAAAACTAATTCTTCGCACTTTTCAACATAAAAAAGCTTTCTTGTGAATTTTCGTTATAGTTAGCCGCTTTTGAGATATTTCGATTTTTAAGGTTCGATGCATTTTTAATTATTTATGATAAAATAACGTTAAAAAGTCAGTATCTCAATAAATTTTAGAAGTAGGCTAAGCGTGCAAATATTTTTGAAATTGAAATCAGAATAAGGATAAACGTCAATTAGTTGACAGTTAGTTTTGTTGTCTGTTGAAACCTGAAACGTTTTTTTGCAATTGTGAATGCACGAAATTTAGTTTCTTTTACCTGTTTTTTTTTTGATAGTTTTATAAAAATGCCATTTTTATTCTCCAATCAAGAGTTAGCGGATATTCATTTTGTGTATGGCTTTGTAAATGGAAACGCAGCAGAAGCAGCCAGAGAATACGCACGAAGATTTCCAAACAGACGACATCCAACTCGCTCAGTATTTGTGAGAGTGCATCGCCAAATAATTGAAAATGGTTTTGGAAATCTCCAAAGGGATCAAAACATAAATGTTCGTCAGCGCAGATTTACCCGTATGATTCTGCGTGAGTTTGATAGAGATCCGACCACAAGTGTTAGGAGAGCTTCTGGTGCCTTGGGAATTTCAGCAAGCCATGTTCACCGTGTTCTTAGAAATGATAGACGTCATTACCATTTGCAACCTGTGCAAGGACTACAGCCAGGGGACGGAGAATGAAGAATCACATTTTGTCAGTGGATTCTTGATAGAACTGATAATAATAGGGACTTTTTAAATAACGTTTTATGGACCGATGAGTCATGCTTCACTAGACGTGGAGTGGTAAATTTTCATAATCAACATATTTTGTCGCGTGAAAATCCGCATGCAGTTCGGGAAAGAAATTTTCAGCATGAATTTAGTGTGATTGTGTGGATTGGTATCTACCTTAATCGACTATTTGGACCCTACCTTTTGCCTGCAAAGTTAAATGCTGCGACCTTCTTGGAATTTTTAAAGGCTGAACATGCAAATATGTGGGATGATGTTATGTTAGATTTAAGAAGATTGGCCTGGTTCCAGCTTGATGGTTGTCCAATTCATTATTCGAGAATAGTTAGAAACTGGCTGGACGAAAATTATCCAGAAAGATAGATTGGCCGTGGAGGGCCAGTCGCCTGGCCTCCACGATCCCCTGACCCAAATCCATTAGATTTCTTTGTGTGGGGATTTCTAAAAGAAAAAGTGTACCAGACTCCCGTAACCACAAGAGATATGCTAATAGACAGAATCAGGGATGCATGTGATGACTGATGAAATAAGGCCTTATTTGAATAATGCCACGTTCGATCATTCGTAGATGTGAATTGTGTATTGAACAATTGGGTTTACATTTCGAGCAACTACTTTAGATTTTGTATGTTTGTCCTAACTATCCAATAGCATTTTAGTTGTAAATAATTAATTTAATTTGTTAAAAATAATATTGGAAAATTAAACAAATTAATATTCTGTTTTTTTGTGTTTATTTGGAGTTAGGGATTATTGCTGTGTTTAAAAACACAATCTAAACGATCATCTTAATTACTTGTAATGCCCAAATCTAAAATGTAAAAAAAATATTATTTTCCCATAAATAATTAAAAATGCATCGAACCTTAAAAATCGAAATATCTCAAAAACGGCTAACTATAACGAAAACTCACAAGAAAGCTTTTTTATGCAGAAAAGTGCGAAGAATCAGATGTTTTATTCAAAAAGCAAAAAATTGCACTAAGAAAAAAGTTTCGGTCATTTTAAGACACTATAGGTACAGTAGAGAGCGCCCTCTAGCGGCTACAGTAAAACAATGGCCATGATTCGTTTTGTCGTACCAAAAAACCCTTGTATACCAATTTTCACTGTTATACATCAAATATTGTTTCAAATATTTAAAAAAAAAACTATTTTAAAAAGTGAATTTAAACACTCTGTATTTCGCAAGCCACGCATTTTTCGACCCTTGTTTATATAGACTTTATGCATTAATTTTAAAAGTTCTATCGAATCTTAAAGTTATGCAACAATAAACTGAAACATCCTGTATATATATATATATATATACTTTGAAGTTGAGTCATCAATTTTCAGATAATGATTGTAGAAGGAAGATAAATCAAAATATGTGTGTAAAAATAAAAAAAAATTAAAAAAAAAGTTTACCTTGTTTTATAAAGTATCCTCCCGACAAGTATTTCAGTGCGGACCTGTAGTTGATCGTGTGGCCTTGGAGTACCGGCATGCCGTCCATATGTGAGGTCTTAAGTCAAA